GATGAAATCCTAAAACAAACATCAGGAAGGCAATCCTCTTTAATTCTTTATTTCTCCACACAAGTTAAACAAGTTTCAAAACAAGAATTTTAAATTACACAGAAAGAGGATAGATGATCACAGAGAGTAATTGATTTACAATTAATTGTTACATATACATGTGAAACTATGGTTACCAGAATTGATGGTAATAACAAGGAAAATTAGAAAATAGTCATTTTGACTTCCCTTAACTTACACTATTGTGAATGTTTACAAAAGGTTGGACTGTTAATTCACTAATTCATTAATTAATTAATTAGGGTTAAAGCCATTTCCTAGAGACGACTTCAGAAATGATCGACTTCATTTTCTTACAGACTCGAATATTTTAAACAGCTTTATAGTGTCAAAAAGGTGAATAGAAGAAAGAAAAAGAAAAAAATACTTCCATAATGATATAGTAGAAAAGACACAGCAAACATTAAAGGGCGTGCACAGCGTTTTTCATCTCTGCCCGTTTAGAGTTTATTCTTATTAAAACGGACAAATCATAACAAACCATTAATGAAAATTATGATCAAATTTTGTTAGCTTCATCAATTTATTATCATTGTTATTCCCTTTGGTTCCTAGTGGAACATAACAGGGCTGCAATAACACATCTCCACTTTATTCTATTCATCACTGCTGTCCTCTTCAGCTGAGTTTATGATTGCCCATAATCTCTCATCTCCTCCATGTCACCTTCGCATCCTCGAGTGATGGCCTACACTGCACACGATTTCATTCGACGGCCTCCTCAACATGTGCCCGATCAATATTTCTTGAGTAATAGACCCTTGTTTGGTTTGTCACCATCCAGAGTTTCTTGTTACTAATTCTTTCTGGCTGGCTGACCATTCAATCCTCAATATGGAGCCAACCAACGAAGGGGCAGCTGTTGATACAAGTCTGTAACTTGTTGGAAATCCTTTTCGTGACTCGTATAGAAGAACTGACTGACTTGACAATTGTTTCTGCAATTATGGATGTTATTCTTTATGCTGACTGAGTGCAGCAGCAGATTTCCAAACTGGTTTCATGTTGATGAAGGTGTATCTTGCCTTTCCGATTCTGACTGGCTGGCTTTGACATCTTCATTCATGCCATCTGCCTGTAGTTGAGACTATACTGGCTGCCTAGATAGGTGGAGGGAGTAACCTCTGTCAAATTTCCCTTGTTGATAGTGACTGAAGTTGGTTGTTGTTACTGCTGTTGCTGTTGGTTATCTTCATCACCGCCGTCTTCTCTATGCTCACCTGGAGTCCTGTCTTTGCTGCTTCTTCAGTCAATTTGTAGCTTTTCGCTTGCAGTTGTTCTAGTTTGTGTGACATTAGACGTATATCAAATCTCTATCTCCACTTCAACAACTTTGAAAGAGCCTTCGACAACATTGACTACGAAATGAAACCTTCAGCAATCTCATTGATCCGCTATACGAAAAATGCCACATGTCTGGTGAACACTCAGCGAAGCCTTTGAAATGAAAACAGCAGTAAGACAAGGCTGTCTGTCTGCGTACTATTACTGAAGAGATTCCTGATTATGGTGGACTGGTTCACTCAGTAGACCGTGGGAAGAGAGAATACACAAGGACGTTGGACCAACAAGAAGATCCAAGATGACCTGGACTTTGCGGATGTCACACAACGTCGAAGACCTACAGGTGAAAAATGAAAAGCTGGAGAGAGAGAAGCTGGGAAGACAGGAATTCAAATGAACCTAAAGAAGTCAGAGGTGGTGGGAATGAACAACAACAAGCACCAGTCTCTATCGATGGAAGACATCTAGATGACATCGTTTCAACTACAGTCGACAAGGATGAGGATGTCAATGGCAGCAGGATGGGGAAAGCCAAGCAATTTGAAAATGTGTTGCAGTCAACATAAACAACTAAATTCTTATTCGCTACTCCAGTGTCAACTCTATGCATCTATATGGTTCAGAGACTTGATGTGTCACAAAGAGCATTTCGAACAGGCTGGAAACTTTAACCAACACATGCATACACTCGATATTGAAGATTAGATTAGACAGACATAATTGGCCACAGGGAACTGTAGGAATGAACAAACCGGGAACCTACATATCGGATATATACGCTGAGGAGACCGACGAGTGATATAGCGAGCCAGGCGCTAAAGTGAAACCCGGATGGGAAACAAACGACGAGTTGGGTGTCCCAGGGTGACACAGAGGAGATCGTGTGAGAAAGAAATGAAAGCTTATGATAAATCGGTGGGCCAGGTAATGACATCTGTTGAGAAGACGATGAAACAGAGATGTTCTGTTGAAGCCTAATGTTCTACTTGGAACCCAAGGCAATAATAGCAATATGATGTGGATTCGGTTGATGGTGGGTAGCTGCGGAATTCAGGATGTGCGTGTCACTGATGAGGAGTTCCAAATAGGTCAAATTGCGCATTCTGTATTCCACTATTGGTTGCGATCAACCAATATCCAGACATCGTCTAAGCATCAGTTCTACACATCGACATGTTGAGAAAGATCGATCATTTCCATCTGACATGATCAATCAAAGGAAAATAAAAAACTAAACGTCAGTATTATTATTCCCCCAAGTTCCAAGTGGAGCAACAGGCTTAATCATAATCACACCTCCATTTCACTCCCTTTTTAGCTGGCTTCACAACTGCCCATACGCTTCCATCTGCTCCTCATATTATCTCTTCTACACTAACCTGCGTCGGCGGCGCAGTGGTTAGTACTCTCGCCCACCATGCACATAAATGGTGAGCGGTTCGATCCCCTGCCGACGCACACCCGATATCTATGATCGGCCTGCAAAATCTGGGCTACCGATATCCATGCTGAAAATCCCATACTTGTACTGAAAATACGGTGTGGCATCAAGCTGTAATCAAAATAAAAAATTATAAAATAAAAAAAAATAACCTCCGCCCCCCCCCCGAACTTGTCGTTTTCCATTCAGGTTTCACTCTACAGCCTGGCGCGTGATGTCACTCAGTCTAAGTTGAATCCATTTCCATTTCCTTCTCCATATTTGTTCGCTAATAGATTCTTGGTTTGCTCGTTTCTAGAGTTCCGTGTAGCTTATCCTTTCCAGCTGGCCATCTAATCTTCAGTGTCGAGCGAAGGTAGCCGTGCAAGTTTGAATCCTGCTCGTGACTTATTTAATCTAACCAGAAAATGATAAAATAAGACGGTTGCAGCGGAGAAAATTTCCTTTTCGATGAAGTCATCGTCAACTAGGCCATACATTCGTGTATTTTTAGTAAATGGGTGAAAAAGTTGCAGAACTATTTCCGGTCAAAGGTTAAATTAATAAAATTACAAAGTGTAATAAGTACAAAGATCGGATACAGAATATCGTAAGGTTGTAGATAGGTTGTAGTATTATCCTAGAAATGTTTCAGGTCAAAGGTCAAATTAGTAAAAATTACATAATAAATGGGTGGGAAAGTTCCAGAATAATTTCCGGTCAAGGATCAAAATGTAACCAGATTCACTAGATCGTTATAAGGTCAGAAGAAGATGGAAAACGATGTGTAGAACTAGCAAACCTATCCAATCGCCACAGATATTTTATTATATATATATAAAACCTTGTACTTGTCTGGAATCCGAAAGACAGAACAACACAGGCTTCTGAACACCTTTAGACAGACAATCTACTCAATGTGTCTGATTTCGATGAAAGCAAAAATAAGCATGAGGTTGAAAATATCCTCATTACGTTTGTAGCAAACTAAATAAGTTGCGTAAGATTATCTCTCCCTCTCTCAAGTTAAATATCAACTACAGTTGGTCTGGGTCACAGTGATTTCAGATTCGTTACAGGATTTCATCATGAGCTGACATCAGTTAGAGGATTATTGAAAAACCACCTGGCAATATTGGACGGCTGTTTCCTCCGTCCTAGTTTAACATTCTTCAGCTACACGCATCCATCACCAGGGTTTGGACCCTGGGGCTTCTCGTTACAAGACCAGCAAGCTTGTAGACCATTCAGCCACTGGGACTCTATCCAATGGCCAGACCATGAATTCTAACTTCTTCCAATTCATGACATATCATGACCAATAGCCAATGTCATTGTCGGCTAGCATTTCTCCTCACACCCAACCTGCTCTACCCTACTGGTCAGGACTTCCCACTAGAACACCCCAGGTAACTACCTATCTGAGATTCGTCAACCAGTTAGTCGATTCAAATTTCTTTCCAGTTTAGACTGTCGTATATATTATTTATACGGGTGAGAAACTTGCACTGCGCGTCATGAAAAGGATTTTCAACAAGTTACAGACTTTTGTCAATGGCTGCCTCCTTCGCTGGATGGTTCCATACTGAAGATCAAATGGCCGGTCAGTTAGGAAGAATTGACAACAAGAAACTCTGAATGGTGACAAACCAACTAAAAGCCGATTACTCAACAAATATGTAAGAGAAAATGGAGATGTATTGATTGGGCAAACTTTGAGGAGGTCATGGAATGACATCGCGTAGTGCAGGCCATCACTCGAGTTGAATCCCAACGGGAAGCGACGAGTGGGTCGTCGATGCGAGGGTGACATGGAGAAGATGAGAGATTACGGCTAATCGTGAACCCGGCTAAAGACAACACTAGAGAATAGAACAAAGTGGAGATGTGTTATTGAAGCCCTGTTATGTTCCACGCGGAACCAAAGGGAATAATAATAATAATGTATTATCTTATCTACACATGTTATTCTCGCATTAATTAACTTTAACTCATAATATTTACTAACACAAAACTAAGTGCCATAGAATCAATTTCATAAGAATTTATTTCTACTTATGTGTACAACATCTTGTTATAACACAGCACAGTCAGGTTGACCCTGTTCTTTCAAACATTTACAAAAATAGAAGACATACAAAGATGGCAGGAAACAAGAACAATGAATGAAGGATACAAAAAGACGGGAAAGGATTTTTTTCCGAAACAACAACAACAGGAACAGCAGATCTCTTCATCATTTAAAGTGATTCATTATTTGTTGTATAATATCAGATTTTTTACTCCGACCAGTTGTTGATATTTTAAGATCAAGTGATTTGATTGTATCACGTAAAACTGTCACTGTATACTTATTTAATTGACCAAGTCTCACAGCTGCTTTGAGTTCATCTTCAGATCGAAATGGTTTTACACTTTGACCACTACTACTACTGTCAGTTGATTGTGAAGTGTAAGCCTTCTGTATTATAGGATAGAGGAAACAAGAGAAAAGGAAATGCATGTAGAATAACAAAATTCTTTCTCAAAAAGAGAAAGAAATCATGATGGTTTTAGACAGCTGTTTCGTCCTAGTTTGGGACTCTTTAGCATTACGCACACACACATCAAGAGGTTTGAACACATGACCTTCTTGTTACAAGGCTAGCGAGCTCGTAGACTATTAAGCCACTGGGACCAATACTTGTAAACAATAATGGTTTTATTCTGAACAAGCGTCGGTCATTCATACACGTGTTACGGGGTTCGACCGGTTCGACTGACACCTTCTAAACTCCACTTGGCCAGTAGTAATATCAAGTGAAGAGGGAAGGTTGGATGTGGGGCTGGAAAACCCAAAGTAATCTCTACAGGGTATAATTCGATAGAATTTTGTACTGTCCGTAACATTGTTCAACACCCAGCCACCCACCCACCCTCCAACGTACTTGTCCCTTCGGAAGAGATCAAGAGATATTTCAGGAGGTAGCTTTTGTAGGGATTTGATTTTTCTCAGGTCTGTCCACGGATTGATTGATATCAGTAAGAGAGCCAATGAAAACCAACCAAAGAATACTTTGATTGGACACTAGTCAGTGTCTAGTGTGATGTGTCTAGTTCTTTGTTTGCTGCAGACTGAATTCTATCAGTCAGCTACCTAGAATGGTGGTCACATTGCAAACCTGACTGATAGAATTCAGTCTGCACCAAAGAAAGGACTAGACACATCACACTAGTCACTGATTAGTGTCCAGTCAAAAATATCCAATACAGTCCTCCAGGAGGTAAATCGCGAGCCAGCCCGAATAGCTCAGTGGTAAAGTTTCTGACTGCAGTGCTCACTGAGTGACGCAGGTTCGAGTCTTAGAACGGACATGAGTTCCTCCAAAGTTTCAGATACGCCTTGCTGACCGGTAAGTATCAACTAGCACGAAACTAAGGTTCAAGCAAGGCTTACAGTCATAAAATTCGTTACTGGTCTTGTAAAAATTGAACCATTGACATAATGGAATGTTGTCGTGTAAATATAAATATAAGTGGTAAGGTCATTTATGGAAATCATCAGTCAGGGGGAGTGGTTAACAAATTAGTTACACTCAAAATATAAAACTGAACAAATTGACGAGTTGTTTCTTTTTCATGTCAACTAGAGTTATTATTTGAAGGTTTACAACACTACAAAGTTGTACAGGTCGGTCAGGGTGAAAGTGTTAGTCAACCACTGTGAACATTATCTCAATGGGTTGTTAATCATATCAAAATTCCAGTTCAATAAATATTGATTATCAGTTGGTCAATGATACAAACAACCAATCAAATTTCATCATTTTTTGATATACACGACCAATAGTCGGCTTATGCTGTTGTGTAATTAGTGTTCATGATACTTTTGAATGTTGTCATTATCCGTGTAATCTCACATAAAAGTAAGTGACTCTTTGTGACTCTGTCACTATATGCGCGCCAAATGTCACTCTTCTGAGTCTTCTTATTTATTAGTTGGGATCAGGGAAATCTTCTAGGAGATTGTTTTTTATTCCTTCACGTTCCGAGTGGAACATAGGGCAGCTTCAGGCTAGAGGCTTGAAGTTTCGGTAGCAGTGGTGTTTATTTTTACGGAGTGAGGTTGCTAGCCTCAACTGGCCCAACCTTCCCTCCTTACCACTCTTAGTGAGGTAAAAGAGTGCGTCAGTGGCCGGGGATCGAACCCCGGACCACAGGCGTGGTCTGTGAGCATTCTACTGCTGTGCCCCCAACGCACAAGTAGTACTTACATTATTTCTAACGCATTTTCAAGTTAATATTCACCGACTACAGTGAATAAAGTTCAATCCTCAGATCACGCGCAGTGTCTCAGTGGTAGAATATTCTTTCGCTAATCACTCTCACGGTCCAAGATTCGATTCACTGGCGACCACGCACTCTTAAATCCCGGTTAGTCTGTAGTAAGACAGGTAAAGAGGGAAAGTTGGAGGTGAGAGTAGCAACCCCACCACGTGAAAATAAATAACATTTTAAAGGAAAATACTTTTTCCCCCATGTTTATGTTCACGAAGATTGTTGTTGCCAGGAGACACAATTCTATCATCATTCATTGAGGGAGAATTTAAATCAGTTCATTTTATGCTAAAACTTGCGCTGAAGATGTTCACCAGAAGGACGACGAAAGCTTCACAATTAAACCAACCAGCTCCTCAGAGAACACAACTAATTGCAAATCATCCACCTGAGCTACAAATCTTCTCTATTAGATCGAAGTGATCTCAACCCCGCAATGGCGTTCCACTCGTTCGAAGCCAAGTTGATTAACGGTCTCCTCCATTTGACTCAAATCAAATCAAACCACTGGAAATTCCAGCTATTTTTCATTACCATTTATAGTATTATGTAGACCATATTGATTGTGATCTATCTGAACAATTTCATTATCTTATGGACGAAACTTCAAGTCGAAGGCTCAGGGTTGGGTGGGGGGCAAGGTTAGCCTCTTGCCTCTTAAGACGACCACCTGTCACAGTCTAGGTGTTGGAGTAGTATGCCGAAATTCGCACAAACTATGGGGTTATATTTTGTAACCCATCTCTTTTTGTGCTCATAATATACCAAGTTTGTGTTTCAATAATAATAATGATTATAAATTGATCAATAGGAAACTCAAAAATAACTTGCTTATTCACCTTTGATGAATTCACTGCCTCCAAGTTGAAACATTGTCTGAAGGCTTCAATTTCTACACTGGCTCTTCTTTTCATAGCTCCGATTTTAGGTACTTTATTTTTGGGGAATAATAAAAAGAAAACAAGAAACCAGCCATACAAAGTAAAAACATTTTCTCATGTACATCAGTTGAACTAAATGAATATGCAATCAAATAGATTCCATTTTATTTCATGAAAAAAAAGTAAACCATAGTTGGGATAAAAAGGGTAAGATTGAATCGAGTTTAATCAGGGATTCAGACATCAGTTAGAGAACCATTGAAAGGCGGTAGGGAGTACTGGACGGCAGTTTCATTTTAGTTGGGGACTCATCGGCAGTAAGCACTTATCTTTAGGGTTCGATCCCGGGACCTTTTGGTCACAAGTAAGCAAGCTCGTACACCATTCAGCCACTGCGTCTCGACTCAATTCGCGATTTTTATCACAAACGACCAGCTAATATCGTCGCTGGTGAGTAATTATCCCCCTAAGAGACTTTGTGGACCCTTCTGGTCACGACTTCTCACTAGGACTCACCATGGCCCATTCATCTCTGCTTTCTTCGGAATATTTGCTGGGCAATAGGTTCTTGACTGGTTTATTTCCAGAGTTCTGTCCAGTCATATGATCTTCAACTGTTGATAAAGGAATGCAGTAGCCTATTGGAAAGGCTTTTCGTGACGCCTGAAGTCTCTGACCCACAACACATAGAAGAATTGACTTAACATTGTTGATGAAAATTCGAATTTTGTTCTTTATGTTGACTAAGTGCAGAAAATTTCTACACTGACTTTAGCGTGTTGCCCTCGCGATCCTTGTTCTGCCATGCCTACTCGGTGCTGTCGCCTGCAGTTGAAACGATACTGACTAGATCAGTGAGAGAGAGAGAAGTAACCTCTTTAGAAAATTTCTTCTGTAGACAGTGACTGGCGCTCGTTGTTGTCGTCGGTTAGTTAGTTAGATGTCTTCATCAACTGTGTCTTCTCGTATATTTACTTAAAGTCTTTTATTCACCGCTTCTTCTGTCAACTTGCTGGTTTCCGTATGTAATTCTTAGAATTTGTGTGACATAAGACATAAATCGTCCACAAAGTTCAGATCTTCAAGAATCTTCTTATCGGCCCAACTGTCTAATTAGTTAAATGAAATCAAACGACCAGTACGAAGTGATTCAATAACCAGCGATTTGAACATGCTCCCACCTAACAAACATTATTAATTGTTGGTATTAGATGGTTGGAGGTAATCGACAGGAAACCCTGTCTGACATAGGCCTCGTGCTAGTTAGCACTCACCAGTCAGCAAGGCGTACCTGCAACCTCGAAGCAATTCACCTCCCTTCTAGGATTGGAACCAGCGTCACTCAGTGAGTACTACAGTCAGAGACTTGGCCACCACTGAGCTATTCGGGATGCCACGCGATTGACCTCCTGTAGGAATGTATTGGATATTTTTGATTGGACACTAGTCAGTAACTAGACACATTACACTAGTTACTGACTAGTGTCCAATCAAAAGTAAACATTATTAATAACCAGCTGATTCGAATAAAATGGTTAGAATAACTAAAAGATATTTTAACATCGCGTTCAGATAAGTTTTTGCATAATGTTCACAGTAGAGGATGGTCACTCCTCAGAGCAGTCCAGTGTTTTTCTCATGTAGCCTAGAATATTTTTCGACAAGTAAAGACACATTAGAAGACGATGGTTTGTCATCTCACCAACAAAATACAACTATTTCACCTGAAGCTCTACATATGTAACCTCCGCGTTGACCACATGCCGTTTAGATTGAAGTGCTCTCATGAAGTTAACTTACAACCAAGAACTTCGCACAGAAATACAGCACATCAGACTGCCACACTTCATAAAGCACACGTACCTGAAGAGAGAGTATCAACAGACAAAAGGCACAGAAGAGCGAATAATTACATGTAGATTAATGACAACTTCATAATCCTCAGAGATGGCAAAGAATGAATGCTTCTACGCCACCAACAGTCTCCAGGTATTACTTCTTAGCATGTAGGTCAAGCTAATCGAAGCTTATGTTATGTAACACTCCTCAATGAGGAAGACGACAACTTAGCATACATAAAACATGTCCCAGCCATATCGATGAATACTGCTTCGGAACTTCATCAACTGACTTTCCCTTCTTCCCTAATACTACTCTACACCTAACCTCATTATTACCAGCCACATGACACCATCTAACATGGAAAATAAAAACGGGAACGTCTATGGTCAAAGACAGTTAATCCATTCACACCTCGCCCTTTCAACAGCTATATGTCACACAGCCGTGAAGAAGGATGAAGTGACCTGTTGTACAGTAATCTCATCTTTTGATCAATAACCGGAGATCATATTTACATGAAAGATGGTGTACATTGGCATGACAACATAACATGCTAACATGCAATTGAATCAACAGTAATAATAATAATAACAGTAATAATGAAATTAGCTTACATGTATGATCAACAATTTCAGCTTGAGATTCTCGATTAAATGCTAACGCTTCAAGTAGAGAATAATAACGTTGTAGCAAGGGATTTTCAATTTGTCCAGGACTGAATGGTACCATTAATTTACGTATCATTGCCTTAGCAATATCTACTTGAGATTCATTAGCTAGAGTAGAGAAATTATATTTAAACCACTTTACTGATATGCATTCAAACAAAAATATAAGTTGAACAAATACAACCTGTGGTATACAATGCTCACCAAACAGTCTAATCAATTACACACGTGGTTTGGATTCGATTCCCAGTCGATACATTTCGTAAACCTTTAGTAAGCCTGCAAAAGAATAGAGGTTGGGTGTGAGTGAGGCTATCAACTCCAACCTACAAAGAAATCAACACCACCGTTACGGAAATTTGAAAGCCTTACAGCTTAATGTTCCACTCAGAAAACAAGGACACTTGTTACATATAAAAGCAGAGATTTTGTAAATCATGAAGTTTAGTATTGTGGTGAGAGCTGTGTGATAGCCAAAATTGTAGACAACAGTTTACTTCAGTGTTCACGTCCCGAATCAAGGTCATGAGAATAACAATATCAAAGCTTAACCTTGAGGAACTCACCAGCAAATCACAGAACACTTAACGTGTGCAAATACGATTCGCAGATATATGGCCTGACTTTCTAAGAAACGGTCACAGGCAGCAAGATAACAGGCAATCAGAAGATGTTGCTTCTCTGTGAAAATAACGAATAATAATGTACATAAAAATCTATAAATATCTCTTGATTTTCTCAATAAACGATCTGTTGCCTGGCGGCTGTCTTCTGTCGTTACAGTATTATTGGTATTAGATGATTGGAGGCAATCAGCAGGAAGTCTTACCTGATCTAGGTTCCGTGCTGGTTGATACTTACGAGTCAGTAAGGCGTATGTGCAATCTTGAAGGAACTCCTATCCCTTTTGCGATTCGAGCCTACCTGTAAAGCCTTTACATCAATGGTTTAGCGGTAGAACGCTCACTAACCACGCATCACGTGGGTTAGAGTTCCATCCCCGACGGCCGACACACGCTTACACCTCTCTCTCTCGTGAAGCCAGTAGTAAGGCCGGTAAAGAGGAGAGAGGAAAGATGTGTGTGGAACCAGCAACCCCGCCCCATAAGAAAATAAAACCAATGCTAACGAAACTTTAACGCCTTAGCGTAAAGCCCTATGTTCCAGTTAGAACGCTGAGCAATAAACTAACTGACTAACTAACTAACCACTTTTCTAAATACCTATTCACTTTAAATGATGCATCATGAATGTTTAATTGAATATTAAAAGTGAAATTAAAAATTAGATTAGTTAGACGACTTAACTTACCTATTTCCCCAGATGGAATGTCAATATCACGGAAATCGTCGGCAAAGGGTAAAAATATAATATGAAATCCAGGTGGCATAGTCTGAACTTTGACTTCATTCACCTCTTCAGCCTAAACAAGAATAATAATAATAATAGTAATCATAGGAGTAAGAATTGTCATATCAGTAACTCAAAAAGTATGACAAACACCTAATGGAATTCGGTTACTTGATAAAAACAATTTTCCGTACTAACTTATACACCACAATGAATGCATAACAGACATCTGAGAGTATTCACATAATTCAGGTTTGATGTCAATGAAATGAGGCTTGAACGCATAATGTTATGTGGTTGAAGACAATTGACAGTAAGCCTTAGATCTTGGTTTCATGCTTACTGACATTGTGGTTAGCAAGATGTATCTACCATCTCGAAGGAACTAATGTCTCCTTGAAGATTCGAACACACAACATGCTGATTGTCTTCAACCAGCTGCCATAAAATCAAACTGAAGAGAGATGGCGAATCATCTAGATCGGTGACCACACTGCAAAATGGACCAATAGGATTCAGTCAGCAGCAATAAACACACCAGGTAATGGAGGCATAACATTGGTCACTTCCTGATAATAAATCAACGTAGTTGTAGAATGAAATCATGCAGATACAATAATAATAATAATAGTACATCACTCAGAGAACCATTGGAAAACCAGCCAGGGAGTACTGGAAAGTTGCTTTGTCCCGGTTTGGGACTCTTCATCAGTACTCTCCCAACTGGAACTCGAACCCAGGACCTCCTGGTTACAAGGTGAGCTCGTAGGCCAAGGAGACCTCGTAAAAGACATTGGGAAGTGCTCACGCTATGTAATGAATTGGCAGGAGTTGGCAGTAGTTGTCTAGTGGGCAAAGCTGGAGTACTCCAAGAAAATTAGATTATATTCTATAGCCTTTAAAATAAACACACAAAAAAATGATTTCACTGACAGGTGTCTTCATATCTACACCCTACATGGCTATTTCTTACAATCACCGCGTATTGTCCAAATGATTTTGAAACTGATTTGCGAGTCCACTCGATGTCCACAGTCGATCAAGTGATGGAGAATAAAGCTGTAGGACAGTCTTTTATCTCCTCAGTAAAGACATTAGCGTAAATGTTTCGTAACACGTTTGGAAAACAAACGCTAAGTACTACTGGCATACCTAGATCCACACAACCAGCTGAATTGAAATTGACACATTGACAAAACCACCAGTGGTAGCTTATCCACCACGTTCATACGAATCATTGGTTGTGTAGAGACACATCTTTGTACAGCTTCAGAATGATATCACTGAAAAGAGTAATTCTTCACCGAACGCTTCTTCTTTTATGTGGCTTAATGAAGAGTCTGATTTTTGTCCCGCCTAGTAGATTAAACTCAGTGTCAGTCGATGATAACTTAAGAGAGACGGATATTTGCTTTCATGTGAACATCTAGTCACCGTAAAGTAGTACTAGTAGTACCATACTACAATTAAATTAACAACCTACTCCACTACTTCTAAATCTGTACAACTAAGAATGATAAGAGAAGACCTAACTAGGAAGGCAATGCGATAATTTAAAGGACAGTCATCTGAGTACTGCTCGTTGCAATTGCAGTGAAATAATGACTTGGTTAGTAGTGGTGTGTCTGATAGTTCACCTGGTGGAACTACTATTTCAAATCCTGACTTTCACCCATCACATCATTAACAGTCTGCCAACTCAAAGACTATCTCAGATGGTCTAACCACCATGTAACCACAACATAATTGTCGAATCCGACGATTATCATGCTATATACTATATCACACGACAGGCGATCGCTCGAGTGGAACCTGAATGGGAAACGACGAGTGAGTCGTCGGTGCGAGGGTGACATGGAGGAGATGGTGAGGGGAGGAGATGACAGACTCTACGGGCAATCGTGGGCCCAGCTAAAGACGACAGAGAAAAATAGAACAAACTGGAGATGTGTTGTTCAATCCCTATGTTCCGCTCGGAACCCGAGCGAACAATCATAATAGTAATAATAGGAATAAAAAAGCTATGGTTTTTAAGCAGGTAAACAACTGATTGAAATTTACTTTTAATCACACATACTACTTAATAATTGATATGAGTAGTTGAGTATCACTCATATCAACCAGTAATGCTTGCTAGCCAGATAGATGTGATCCAAACACTAGACTGCCGTTTCTCTCGTTTCAGGCAGAGTCCAACTGCAGTGTACCCGATTTGACACAGTTCACAGATAGGAATCAACTTAAAGCACCCTAAATCTGGATAGCAACATTAGTGTAGTGGTGGAACACTGAAAGATAATTCGCTAATACTAGATGGTTGGAGGCAATCGGTAGGAAAACTTGCCCGACCCATGTTTCGTGCTTCTTGGCAGTCACTATTCAACAAGGCTCATCTACGCCAAACAAGACTAGATGCACTACAGCAGTCACTGATTGTTGTCCAATCAAAGTAACCAATACAGTCCTACAGCCCGAATAGCTCAGTGGTGGTAACGTCTCTGACTGCAACACTGAGTGACGTGGGTTCGAATCTCAGAAGGGACATGAGTTACTTCACGACTATATATACGCCTTGCTGACTGGTCATTGCCCAACTAGCACGAAACCTAGGTCAGGCAACGCTTCCTGTGACCGATTGCCTCCAACCATCTAATATCAACAATGCACAGTGCACCATGATGACGAGTCACCTAGAATGCTGGCAACATTGCAAATTTAACTGAGAGAATCCCGCCTGCAGTAAACGAAGGACCAGGTGCACTACACTAGTCACTAGTTACTAGTGTCCAATCAAAGTAATGATATTCGCAATTTACACAGTTTTTTATTTTAGAAAACCAGACAGATTATTCAAATCATAGTGTATAACTGATTTGCTTGGCAGTCAAGAAAGTGGGGCATAAATAAACGATGCAATATACTACTGATAAACTCCTATGGGTAGTTGGATATCCCCTCTCACGTCAACCAGAGTATTTTATTCAACATCAACGACGAGTACATCAACTACTCATTTTAACATTTATTGATTTTATTCGACTAACTGACATAAATCAATATTGATTATTGATTGCATAATAAATTGCATAATAATAAATATCTCAGCTGACTCTTACATAATATCCTCAAGTCTGGAAAAACTCCCCAGTGGAAACGAAAAAGAATTACTGAAATAGAAACTGCATCGTTTACAAGCAAAACGTCGTGATAAGCAAAAAAACAAAAACAGCTACACATAGCCAAGAATGCAGATGCACACGCACAGGCAGAAACTAAATTTATTAACGGAACAAGTTATAAGTATAAGAATAAATCCAGATATATCAAAAATGAAAATAAAATAAAAGGAAGAGGTAAGAACGAAGAATACTTTGCTTTTCGATGAGTCTTTTTTAAGAGCTGTGCAGTCGTATTTATTTTTATTTAAACAAACTTAACCAATCAGATACTTATAACTGTTTCCTAGAAAGCGTATTGCATAATATGAGATGTAATCTATACGGGAATAAACTGCGGGTTTGTTCTCTGAGGAGGAGCTGGTTGATGTAATTGCGAAGCTTTCATCGTCCCCCTCTTCTAGACAACAACCCCCTTCAGCGCAGATTTTTGAGTATGAAGTGAATTGTATCTCCTGGAAACCCCCGTCACGTGATTTACTTTTTATTAGCTGGTAAATTGTGGTTTAAACACTCTTTGATGAAATTGTGGGGATATCCATTCTTTTTGAAGACGGTTAGTAGTAGGTATTTTTCCTCTATCCTCTTCAACACCAGCTAATAAAAAGTAAATCACATGTGACAAGAGAGTTCGAATTCCAAGTCAATAACATCCTGTCACAACATTAATTGCCGGGAGATACAATTACGTCATTTATGGAGAATTCAAATGAGTTCATTTTATACTAAAAGCAACACTAAAAGTGCTGTCTAGAAGGACGACAAAGGCTTCTCAATTAAATCAACCAGCTCAGCTCAGCTCAGAGAACACAACTAATTCAATATCATCAACCTGAGCTACAAATCTTCTCCATTATTTCTACAATAATGCGTTTATTGGATATGTCGCGAACACAGTAAGACTGTATTCTCATGTTTTGAGCACGCTTTGTTGTTCATAATCATATCAATTGCAGTATGAAACATTGAGACTTGATTTTCCTAGTCCTAGCCCTTCTCCATCATTTATCGTAAAGAAATTATTTTTCCCTCGAGTTCAGAGTAGAATATAGGGCCTCAACTGATTTTTTGACAGTGTGTAGGCTGTTGTTACTTCCCAGCTTCCCACACCATGAAGGTTGATTGATTTCTCGGGTACCTGAAACAGAAAGAGGGTTAGGCCGCAGAGACAACTGTCTGTATGAACTGGTTTCTTGGATTGGTTCCTTATCAGTAAACTTACTGCCGGTTACGGACCACCGTAGAGTACGCCAGGATGTAGAATTGTTGGGATCGACTCTATCTAACCCCTGTCTCTCTCCAGAGTGGAGAGACAGCAAGCTGCCATGCTGGTCATCTGAGGGGAACACCTTACTGCTGTTACACCTTTCTTCCCCAGCAGTATGACTTCGCCCACAGATCCCCAGCATAGTGTAAAAAAGAAATTCTTACACAATGCCAGTGACTATTTTTGTCTAATCGCTATCTTAAAAATCTTCCTAGCATGGTAGGACCTGCAGGAACAATAGTTCCAGCCAGTGTAGCTTGTTGGGTCATTGCAATATGCCAGCCCGACCACCACAGTGTCAAAGTAGCAGCTATCGGTAGGGGCTTCAACAATACTTTAGCTGGCTCTACGATTCCCTATAGGCTCTTATCTCCACCTCGACACACGATCTCCTGCACGTCACCCGCTCAATTACGCCCAATTCGTCGTTCCCCATTTGGACTACACTTGAACAATGAGCGGGCTAGCGATGTCATTCGACGATCTCCTCACCGTGTACCTTAGGTATCTCCATTTTCTCCGGAATATTTGTGGAGTAATAGGTTCTCAGTTGGTTCTTCCCAGTAGATTTTTGTTGCTAATTCTTTCTGGCAGGCCGGCCATTTGATCTTTAAAATGGTGATAGCGAAGGCAGTTGTTGATAAAAGTCTTCAGAAGATCGCTGGAAACTCTTTTCGTGACGTTAAATGCAAGTTTCTGATCTATATGAAAGTGACTTAATTTTGGTGTTGAAAATCCGAATTTTGTTTATTTACACGGAGTGAATCCAGAAGATTTTCAAACTTTTTTCAGTGTGATGAAGATCCGCCGTGCCTTTTCGATTGTAGTTTTGAAATTATCATTCTTTCTGCCCGCAGTTGAAAAAGTGACTCCGAGATAAGTGAAGGAGGCAACCTCTGTCAAATCCCTCCTGTTGATGGTGATTAGCGCTGTTCGTTGTTGCAGTTGGTTGGTTATCTTCATCGCCTCTATCTTATCTATGTTCACCTGGAGTCCCGTATTCACTGCCTGCTTCTGCAGCCAGTCTGTTGGTTTTCACCTACAAGTCTTCGATACCATATCTTCTCATTTCTTTAGCTACCTGGGCAGCCTTCCCAGCCAGCCTTGTACATTGTACGGCCATTCCACGTCCCCATTCTTATTCTCGCTTTATTTGAAAAATAGAGACATCCGCTGGTTGACTAGCTTCCCGAAGGCGGGCTTTCACCAGGCTATTGTGTCATTTCGCCTCTCCGATTCCAAAGAACAATAAGTCTGTTTTTTATATTTTTTGTACATTTAATATTTTCTCTGGTGAATTGAAGTTTCTCTAGCAGTTTGATTAATTTTGTGGTGTAGGTTCGCTAGCCCCACACACTCAACACTCCCTCTTTACTGACTGGTTTCAACATAGAACTTTGCATCGATGTGCAGTAGTTCCAGTCGCCACACTCCACTCCATGTAGCACACAAAGCAAAAGGAGAAAGTAGAAGAAACGCAAAGCAGACATTAAAGAGAGATATGAGGCAAAAGGAATAGTAATATGGAAGAACAATATAGTTCCACTGGGTATTATAAGTCACAAGGAGTGGACGCATCTGCGCCAGCCATTGAAAACGATCACTTTGAGCCATATCACCGATTGTCTCCAGCCTTCATCGGTTTTAACCGTCCCGAGGAACCCAACCAATAGGTCTACACATTCCTACGTGGCTAGCCTGGACTAACTGTTGTGTATTTCATTGACTGATGAGGCCATGTTCTGGTTTGACCACCGCTGGCTCTTTTCCAACCTGATCCATCATATGTCAGCTAACATTACCCGTCGAGGAAGGTGATCGATGGCTGAGAATGCATGCGTAACACATATCTTAACCATCTCAGTCGAGGTAGCTTCACAGCCTCGTCGATTAATTTCCCCTCCCTCTTTAACCACACTTTGAGTCAGCTAGCAAACTGCACAACGTTAAGGTTCTTGCTGTACAAAGTGTTGTAATTTCATCTAACTCAAGAAACACCTCATTTCACTGTCATTAGTGAAATTATGACAGCAACAACAAACAAACAAACAAGACAAGACAAGACAATAATCATCATTAAATGTTAATCGCTTACTTGAGGATAAAGTGCAATAAGACGTGGAAATTGTCCCTTTCTTTGAACATATATAGCTATAGCTAAAAGTTTACGATGTAGACAACGATTCAGCAGAGCTGTAAACCATAAACAACTACCGTGTATCGATGCTTCATCTGGATAAATAAACTGTGCTGGACGAATATAATAGAAACGTTTTAAAAATTTCATTGATATAAAACCCAACAGATGGATACCTGAAAGAGACGCACAGAGACAGAGAGACAATAAATGCAGCATAAATGAACATTGAGAGAAAACATAAAATAGCGACCACTACGACGACAACAACAACCACAATACGAAAACGATAAAACGACAATCGTTTGTGTGAATAAATGCAAGAGGCATATGTATATCATGAAGTCTCTAGTGGTTGTTTTGAGCCAAGCCAAGTAACGAGGTATGGGTTGAAAGTTGTTCTCAATGTCACGGATACATTCACTGTCAACAATTCACAGTGCAGTGCACCATGATGATGAGCCATCTAGTTGCATGGTGGTCAGATTGAGTCGTTTGGGGGAGGAACACCGGACCAACTGAGGCGTCGTTGGCGAGAGTTCTATCACTGAACCAATTATGTACAGGCTTTACTCGTGGATTCAACTCACTAAAAGGATATGAGTTCCTTCAAGAATGCAGAAACACTTTGCTGATGAGTGCCAACTGGCACGAAACCTAGGTCCCAGCAGGGCTTCCTGAAGACAATCTAATACCAACAACTCACAGTGCACCGTGATGGTAAGTCACCTAGTGGCATGGTGGCTACATTACAAACTTGACTGATAGATTTCAGTCTACAGTAAACAAAGGACTAGACGCACATGATAACAGTTACCGACTAGTTTCCAATCAAAAAATATTCAATACAGTCCTATAGGAGGTCAATCGCGTGGCAGCCTGAACCGCTGAGTGGTCATGTCTCTGACTGCAGCACTCACTAAATGATGCGGGTTCGAATCTCAGAACGGACATGAGTTCCTTCGAGGTTGTAGATACGCCTTACTGACTGGCAAGTGTCAACTAACACGAAACCTAGATCAGGAGAGGCTTCCTGCCGATTGCTTCTAACTGTCTATTACCAACAATACACTCATTGTGTGTCGTCCATTGAGTCCTCATGCTTTCGCCCTGTTGATTTCCTTCTCACGTACTTTCCTGCTGATTAAGGCCAGTCTGAATTTCGTCCTTCTCCCCTGTCCCTACCTTTGTGTGCTGTATGGAGTGTGACAACTTGCTGAACTGAAACGTCTCCATGTAAAATTTAACGTTGCAACTCAGTCAGTCGGGTATGTAAACATCTTTCCAGTTCTGACACTTGAATATGCGTGTTTTCCATCATGATTTGATGAAATACATGCGGTTAGACAATATCCAACAAATATCTTCAGTGAACACTGCCTTGTGAACAAACACACTAAGGTAGCTCAACAAACACTGAAATTTTCAAGTATTCACCAATGAGCTTGAACTACTTTGTATGTGTATGTTGGGGTTCGAACTCGTTATCCAGTTATTAAGAGCCGATTGCCAAAAACCACTAGGCTAAAAGTTCCACTGCGTGATAAAAAGTGAAATACCTCGTTTTCACAATACATATTTTACACAGTTTCCCTGGGTGATCCGGGATAATTTCCTTGAGGATTGCAAATACACCTTGATCACGAGTGTCTGCAAGCATGAAACCTAGTTCCAAAGTTCCTTACTGACTCCCTCCAATGATCTAATGACAATTAAGAGAGTACCGCCACGATGGTGAGCAAACTAGTAGCTTTTTTATTTGACACTAGTAACTAGCGTGATGCGTCTAGTCCTCTCTTTGGTGCAGACTGAATTCTATCAGTCAGGTTGTAATGTGGCCACCATTCTAGGTAGCTCGCCATCACGGTGTACATTGTTTGTGATGATATTAGATGGTTGGAGGCAATCGGCAGGAAGGCTGGCCACATTACAAATTTGACTGATAGAATTCAGTCTGTAATAAACAAAGGACTAGACGCACTATACTAGTCACTGACTAGTGTCCGATCGAACAGACGAACTTCGAATAATTTTGACATTCACTGGAGAGTTCAACGAATTGATGACTGATGACAGCCTTTACAGAGAGCGTAATACGATGGTCGCTATGAGTGCATTGTACCTGCGACATGTAGTCATTTTGAGGGTTAGAAGCTACGACTAGTATATTATTATTATTATCGTTTCCTTTAGTTCCTAGAGGAACATAGGGCTTCAGTCACACGTCTCCATTGCGTTCGGTTCTCTGCCTAATTTTTCACCTGTTTCCACGTCTCCCCACATACTTTCATCTCCTCTTCGCGTCACCTCCTCCTCCATGTCACCCTCACACTGACTACCGATTCTCCGCTTCCCGTCCGGGTTTCACTCGAGCAATGGCCTGGCGTGTGGTGTCACTTGATGGTTGGTTTTCTCACAGTATGACCACAAATCCACCTCCATTTCTTCCTGCTTGTTTGTTACACAATTGGTTCCTGCTGGGTTGGTTCGTTCATTGCCAGAGATCCCTACCTGTTGCTGGTCTATTCTGGCCGGCCATCTGATATTGAGTATTGAGCAAAGACAGCTGTTGATGAAGGTGTGTAGTTTGTTCGAAGTGCCCGTCGTGACGAAGCGTCAAGTCTATGATCCATATAGTAGCACAGACTTCCCATTGGAGTTGAAAATCCGGATCTTCTTTTTCACGCTGAGTGCTGTTGACCTCTACGCAGACTTGAGAGTAATGAAAGCTTGCTTGCCTTGCTTTCCCGGTACTCGCTTTGATATCCCCATCAGTTCCGTCAGCCTGTAGTTGAAACGATACTTCCCAGGTAGGTAGGTATGTGAGTGGATAGGTAAAGGAGGTTGCTTCTTTCGGATTCCTCCCATTTATGCTGATTGTTGTCTGTTGTCGTTGCAGCTCGTTGGGAATCTTCATCACCTCTGTTTTATCTATGTTCACCTGAAGTCCTATCTTTGATGCTTCTTCTGCCAACTTGTTGCTTTTCACTTGCATATCTTCCAGTTTGTGTGATGTCAGACATGTATATATCATTGGCGAAGTCCAGATCCTCCAAGTCTCTTTTTGTGTGGGTCCATTTTATGCCTGTTTCCTCACTGCCCGCTGACTGTCTGTCGCACTATCCAGGCTACCGCAATCAGGAAAATCATTGGAGATAGTAGGCAGCCAGCTTTGTATTACTCCTGTCTTCACTTCGAAGGGTTCCGTGAGTTCCCCGTTGTGGATTACTTGGCATGCAGCATTGCCGTACAACTGCTGGGTGAGATGTATAATTGTTGGCGGCCAGTATAAATTAGGCAGAATTAAAGGGGATATAAGGCTGATGCACATCTATGCTAGCTCCAATTCCCATAAATTCCTTCTTATACATACTTATTCAATACTGAATTAAAGTTTGGTGTAGCTACCAGTCGCTTGAAGTAGTATCCAGCAATATTTTCGGCTTCCACAGTTAAATATGGTAAAGTTTCACCACGGACTGTGGAAATCGTAAGTCACGACTTCCATTGAATGTGTCGATAGTTAACTCTAAGTAGCTAATTAGGATTCGGATGGTGCGAACTGAGTTGAACCGAATGAACCACTGATGACATCGACTACAAGCAAAAGGAACAGTTGTCCAGTGGTGGTTAGATCACTTCGATCTGTCTAGCAAGCACCACTGATTGATGTAAGAGGCATCCAACTACTCATATCAATCTATAAGTAGTATACTCCAACTAAATCAAATTTCAGCGGAAAACTTACCAACAGGAGCAATATTTTTCATCGCTTCATTAATTTCATCTTTATCAAAGCATACATAACGACCATCAAGTTTAATACCACGAACTAGATCATGATCAGCGAGTGCATCTTTCACTGGATCATACGAACCATATGGATCTATGCCTTTGTAATATTGCCTTCTTACTGTGATTGGCTTATTGTCATTAGATGAAAGCCATATTGGAGTAGGCAAGTGTACTGGACGAATTAGACAATACACTGAAACACCTAAAGCCAATTCTGGAGATGGTCCAAGATGAAACGGTAAACGGCATACACGTGATCGACGTAATTCATGACAATTAACACTACAGTAGATTTTAAAAATATAGGGGAAAAAATATCAATAATAATACGAAACTAGATAGATAATCAGTTCAAATATGCAAAGGAATTATAAAAACATAATCCAATTCAACATCAGATTATGGACAAAAATAATGACGGTTTAAGTTGCCACGCTTCATGAAGTGTAGACATGAAGATAGTGTTATTGATATAAGGATAAAATTTAGGCACTATGGTGGTAGAGTATAACTCCATCATGGATAAAACTTTTAATTTGATAAAATCACACACAGTGTTTGTTATACAGTAATATTTACTGATGACCATGTTTCCAGCACAATTTATTACTGCTCATAATCATATCAAGGCACTAATCACCCGAATTTCTTGCCTGGTTTATATACATGAGTAAAAAATTGATTAGACATTTGAATAATATCAATATAAGATAAAGTACATTCGAAAATAATATTAGTTTTTATAAGTTGACCACGAATTAATATCAGTTAGTGAACCATCGAAAACCAGTATGGAGTACTGGACAGCTGTTTCTGTAGTCCTAGTTTGGGAATCGTCGGCTGTACGCACCCACCACAGAGGGTTCGAACCCAGGACCATCCGGTTACAAGCAAGCAAGCAAGGTCGTATACTGTACTATTCAGCCGCTAATTCACGTAAACTTATAACGCTGGTAGTAACAAATGAACTCTCTGGAAGTGTATTAAATGAACTAGTAACACGTTCATGTTCATATGGTGAATTTGGAGGCTTTCTAATTGATGCAAATGATATATGACTAATATAATCCATTTGTAAACCAAATATAGTTAAATGTATAGCTTTATTAGATTGTAAGACAATGATATGATCTGTTATTGATTCATATGTATCTGGAAGTGCCCCATAATTAATAGGCTCAGTAGAGATTGTATGAATGAGTAATAGTTTTAGAAATACTGTAATTAAGATTATATACAATTTCATTTCCAACTCCTATAGAAGAAAAAATAGAAAAGAAAAGAGATGGAAAAATGGAATAAAAAAGTTAATATACATGCAATAATGTTATCCAGTCCATCCCAAAGAAGATACTTCTGCTTAATCTAGAATTCAAAAGGTGACACTGAAGCAGAAATCCTTTGTAACCTACCTATATTATCTTTTAGAATTTTAAACCTCTCCCACACACTCTATTGTGTGGTTGTGTGTTAATGCATGGAGTGCAATTGTTGAGTTTTCTTTTTCTAAATTACTTATCTCCGTGGGATCAATCATACTAACCTTAGCTAAATTCTTATGTTCTGATAATCTCACTACTCCTGATCTACTAGTTTAATCTATGTAGTTGACTCAACTCACTCACAGACATTGCAAAGTATTTTGTAAATTATATTATATTATTTTATTCGGTCCACCGGGTCCTTTAGCCTACAGAGCTTGTCCATGGGTGAGTTTGTAGATTTGAATGCCACTTTAATTCCTGCTTTATTCAGAATCCTACGGAGGGTTTCAGCTATCGTCTCCTTATATGGTAAAACTGCAGATGACCTATATTCTTTCTTATTTATGTTCTCATTATTAGTTTCACCATTATTTTTGTTTTGCCTCCGACAACTTTTGGTCTTCCTAATAAATTTTGTAGGATAGTTAGACATTTATCACCAGCGCTTTTTCTCCCATCTGTTTCATTCTATCATTTACGTTTTTTGTTGTACTACTGAGTGCCACCGATCGGTTTTTTAGAGACACCCTTAACTAAGCCTGCCTCAACAGTTAACGGATGAGACGAATTAAAGTCTAAATATCTATTAGCATAAAGCGTTGGCTTTTTATAAACGCTACGGTACATGCAGTTTACATTCTTCTTCTGTTCGTTTTATTTAACAATCTGTCATCACAGCTAATTCCCCTTGTTTATTTTGCGATTCAAATGTGCATTTTATTTCTTTTACTAGTGAGTTTGAAGTATGCGCTGAAGATGTCACCTAGTAGGGTGATGAAAGCTTCACAAATTAACTATCCAGCTCAGAGAACACAGCCACATCAAAAACTGTGTGATTTTATTCAAATAAAATTTTATTCATAATGGAGACAGTGTTTTATTATTATTCCCTCAGGTTTCGAAGGGAGCATAGGATTTCAACAACACCTCTGGATTTCATCCTCTCTTTCTCTGCAGTCAACTTTAGCCAGCAACACGATCGCCCATAATCACTCATCTCCTCCTCTTCACACGATCTCCTCTATATCAACCTCAGATGCCCAACTCGCAATTTCACAATCGGGTTCTGCTCGAAAGCCTAGCATGCAATGCCATTCAACGGTTTCCCCATCGAAAGTCTGCTCAGAAGATAACAGGAAACGTAAAAGAAATGGGAAGAATCTAGAATAAACAGCCTACCTAAAATTTGCAATATCAAAAAATTTCTATCTCTCTCTCTCTCTGTTGAATATATTTTCTCTCCTTCGGTTTGTTTTAATCGATCAACATATAATCTCTAATGGTATAACGTACACTCGTGGGCATTTAAAATGTTTACAAGCTTCTGTTTCGTAATTTCCTATTAAACTTGAGGAAAGGCACGATTGTGCGTGGTAGTGTGTTCCAATACAACATGAGATAATTGTTCCTCAGTTATGTGTGTTCTTGGGTCTCAAAATCTACTTCTGAACATTCTACAAGGTTGGCTTTCACAGCTACATATCATGGATTTCTTATAGGAAGGAGACAAAGCAGCTATATCATCATAAAGGAATGGTTTGTGCTTCAGCTCCGAGAGAGCATTGTGTCACAGGAAGGATATACTGTCAATTAATCAATATTGTACTTGAAGATATTGTACAAAGAGCGAAAATATCATGCAATAAACTCCGCTGAAAATTCTGAACATTTTATGAATACTGTCCAGAATAAGAATTTCATGGATATATGGAAGATAAAAAAGAGTGAATACGTCATCAGTGTCACTGTGAGTGATTTTCAGCCTTACCATCAACAGTTTTGAGGATCCTAGAGCTATTTTCATCTGACCAGACCTTGTTCTTTCCGCATCGAATCCTCATGTTAAGTAGTAACACCGCACGATGAGGAAGGCTTCGACTTGGCATGCATAGCGCATACTTGAACTATCTCAATTGCCTTACATCGATTGAATTTCTCTCCTTACCTGACACTTTTTGTTGAACTTAATCATTACTTATATACCATACTATACCGTCTGGTACGATAGAGAGAATAAGCATAAGTAATTTCAGAGTGAACATCGGCTAGTTTCTGCTCTTCAAGATCAAATTAAGGATGAATTAGTCTGAATCTATAGAGGTAAGTCATTACCACAGTTTCGTATAAATACTGCATATCTGTCCAAATCAGTTTAAAAGGAATGACTGCATGCATCTTGTGATACAGTATATGTTCCTTTAACAGAAGTGTCCACATTGGTTTAATATTAATTTGTTTCAGTATGGCGGAAATATTCACTCAGATATTTACAGCCGAAATACTCGCTCTCCACTAACATGTCGGTTCAAGTGCAGATACCATTGTAATATTAAGAACAAAATATTCAGCGAAGAGACTCTTTTCAACAACGAATTTATTATCAAGCTGTACAGTTGTGTGCGACGCTCTGTTCTAGAACACGTGATCGCCTCCTGTTACTCTACCAAGCCTGACTATGATTTTAAGATCATCTACCGAATCCATGCAAACATGCCGGAGGCGGTTTCATCATTTTAAACTTCTAAAGACAGTGCAGGCTTTGGCCATTCATGAATTCAAGCCAGACATACCTTTGTGTACAAAAGAAGTATGTACAATCCCTACTTCTGCCTTGGCCGTAGAGCCATAGACATTTATTTATTTATTTTGTTTATTTAGCTAATCTATGTACATTTCCCTCATTACTACGATTATTATTATTATTATTACTATTCTCATTCTGATATGCTTTCGCTTGTCCCAATTGTCATTCTAAATCCAAAATTATTTTTAAAAATATTGAATTCTATTTCATCAAATTTCACACCATGTTATGTAAAAAACAAAAGTACATACTAATGAGCAATCATATTTAGATGGGTCATGTATGTACTTTTGTTTTTTATTTAACTGAGTAATTGTCATGACCTTTATTTAATTTTATTATTGTTAACCATGTTAGTTGTAAAGCGGTTGTAAGGAAACTACGAAATGAAGATATCATCTCACGAAATTTGTCGTCTTAATGCCTGATTATAATAAAAAATTGTTTTTGAATACACAGGTTTGGGGCTTGAGTTTATGAATAGGTATAGCCCCGGCGTATTTCAATGAGCGCCCTTGACCGTTTATACATGTATATTAACATAAATCGAGTTCACAAATGAATGTGTGATCAGATTGTTCGAAATGTATAACGGAGATCACTAAACCAAATAACATAGGTAATAGTACATCTATTATCATATCAAAATAAAGTTTACTAACTTGAGCATCGTTCGTCAGTCCGGTGTCATTTTTCGTTGTCAAGTTGGTCAGTTGGTAAAGATAACAAAATCAAGTGTAGATTGTTAGATTTGATCAGTGTGTAAAATCATAAAAGTAGTGTGTGTTTACATAGTGAACTTGCATATCACATTCGTGTTAATTTTGTTACTTCATGGGGGAAGGGAGCGAGGTGTTGTAACCAGGTGAGATTCTGTTTTAGTCCGTCATTCCTATACAGGCAGTTTGGATTCCACTTGATATGAAGTGCTTCTGATATTAGACGTTCTTTGTGATTTCTGAAATGCTTTTTCTGGATTATTTCAGTATTGTCAAAACTGATTTTGTGGCTTGATTCTATAGTGTGTAGGCAAGCTATAGCTGATGATTTTTCAAGCTGTTCTAGTTCAACCGGATTTATTTCCGGGTGGTCGAACAGATGCTCTACGGTGTTCATTTCTTCTGATTTTGATATATCGAGATGTTTGTCCGATGTATATCGCATCACATTCCAAGCAGTTTATTTTATGGACACAATTAGATAGAGAATCTTTAGGGATTTGGTCTTTTATATGGACAAGGTTGTTTCGTAGTGTGTCTGATGTTTTGAAGAAAACTCTAATGTCGAGCTGATTGAGTACCCTTCTGATATCGTCTGACGTCTCTGTTCTATATGGAATGACGACTGTTGAGGTCCATGTTTTCGGAATGCGTTTCTTGCCATACTTAATGTCTGCGTTGATTTTGTTGATGAAGTTCCTTGGGTAGTTGTTTTGCTTGAGAGTTTCAGTAATGTTTGATATCTCTTCTTCTTTTTCTTTCTCGTCGGTTATCAGAGTGTGCTCGTCTAAGAAGACTTGAAACAACTGAAATCTTGGCGCTGATGGGGCATGATGATCTGAAGTCTAAATATTTATTGGAGTGGGTTTTCTTCATGAATATGGATATACTGAAATATCTGCTTTCCCTCCTCTTAACTATCCAGGCAGTCTAGAAATGGTAGTTCACCGACGTCTGATTCTGCTTCCGAAGTGAATTGGATTCTGGGAGATACACAGTTTATTTTCTCCAGGAATGAACTGTGTAGATCTCGTTTCAGCACTACAAAAGTATCATCTACATATCTTAACCATATTTTAGGAGTGAGTATGCTTGAAAAGATGTTATCTTCGAATCTATTCATGAAAAGGTCGGCGACTATTGGGGAGATTGGTGAACCCGTAGCAACACAATTTGTCTATCTATTTAATCTCACTTTAACTGTAAAATAATTACTTTCTAGACAGAATTTTAAGCTCTTAATTATTTCACCGGTGCCCACTGGACATCTTTGTGATAGCGTTGTATCTGATTCTAGTAGACTGGAAATGATATCAAGACTTTTGGTAATAGGGATACTAGTATATAATGAGTTAATATCATAGCTTACCATAATGTCTTCTTTATCAATTTCTCGGTGTTCTATTTGGGATTTGAAATCATATGAATTTCTTACAATATTTTGAGTGTCATTTTGTAGTGGTTGTAGTACCGAGAGTAAGTATTTAGAGAGGTTGTATGTCCGTGAGTTGGTGAAATCTATTATTGGTCTTAATGGGATTGTGTATTCATGTATCTTTGGTTGACCGTAGAATCTTGAGGGTACATAAGACTTTGGTTTTAATTTTAAACCAGAGAGAATTTGCAATTTTGGGATTCATTTCTTGAATGAGTCTGTTTGTATTTGGTTTGATTTTGTTGAATTCGGCGGATTTCTGCTTCTCTTCAATGAGTGAGTATGGTCATTCAGATAGGTGTTCAATCGCCTTCTTTTCATAATCCGTTCTGTTCATTATCACAATGACGCTTCCCTTGTTGGCTTTTGTTATAACGATGCTTCTGTCTTTCTTCAGATTTCTTGGTGTTTCATATTCTCTTTTGGTGATTTTAGATGTTATGCTTCGTTGTGTCATTAATATGTGTGATATCTTTTGACGCATAGGTTGTGATTCTTCATTGGTGAATTGTGGTAGAGCAGGTTCGATCATAGGTGCTATTTCCTGGACCGATAATGCCTTTCCAGTGATATTGAAATTCAGACATTTCTGTAGTGATGAGATTCCATTTTCGGTTAGTATCTTGTCTGACATGTTATGTATGGCTCTAATATTCTTCATATCATTTGTGGAGGTTTTCTTTGGTTGTTTCTTTTCTTCGAATTTCAAGAATTTTTGTATTTGTCTTCTCTTAGTGACATTATGAAAATGAGATTCTCGTTCATTAAGCAATTTTTGAAAGGATTCATAGATATGGCTTGTAACAAGTAATGTTAAACAGTCGTCTACATTTTTGATTCTCGTTCGATAAGATTCAATTTTGATGTTGCAGTTATGTATTCTTTCTCGTAAAAATACTTTGGAGGTATGATTTGCAGCAAGCATGGATTTGTGCGAATATTCAAGAGGTTCAATTCGTAGTGACTTCGGAATAATTCCACTGTGTAGACAGCGTACTCATGTCCCTTCTGAGATTCTAACCGGCATCACCCATTGCTGCAGTCAGAGACGTTACCAACACTGAGTTATTTGGGCTCGCGATTTACCTCCTGACATATAGAATTCAGTCTGCACCAAAGAAACGACTAGACACATCACACTAGTTACTGACTAGTGTCCAATCAAAAAACAAACTTGATGCATTATGGACAACTAACGATTGCACCACACAAATCCTCGTAATTTGTGGGACAGCTGGAATACCGTTAGGATGTGCACATCGAATCGGGTGGTTGTGTTAAACGGGTTCACCTGCTCCCCACCGGAACCTTGAACTTAGAATCTGATTCACAAGGCAATGGGAACAGCGAGTCGGGAGCTACACTCCCATGGTTTCAGGTGACCAAACCATGTTTATACACCATTCGACTCGCTCGGACTCTGGAGCCAATGTAGATCACATGATTGGAATCACGGTTTTCCAGCCACTCTCCCTAGGTAGGTAGGTAGACATCTGCATGTGTATCAGTCCTGTTTCTCCTTCCACTTTTGCAAGGGACACCTCAATCGCATGTAGGCAGTAAACAGGAGTTATGTGGCAACTTGAGATCATCTCAAGAGGAAGACTAAAGTATCCCCCCAAACACACACACACAGCCGTACAAGGTCAATTATGAGGCCAATAAAAAGGCATGGTGATAAACGGAAAAATAATGATTAATTAAAAATACAAAAAAATAAAATAAAAAGTAACCCTCAACAACTTGACTTACTTGTTCACGTATAAGTACTCCAAGCTTTTCTCTACTATACACTTGACCAATTTCCTCACCAAGTATTTTATCCAATATATAACTAACAGGAAATGCAATTGGAAAGGTGAGCAGCATAAATGTTTTTGTCAACCATAAAGTTTTTGCACCGATAGCTAATCCATGCCTTGAGCATACAGCTTGTGGCATAATTTCACCAAATAGTGTAATACCAATAGTAGAGGCGATAACAGCGAATAAACCACTCCCAGTTAAATCATCCATAAGTATAGTTAATGATGTATTGACAAGTACATTACCCAGCAGAAGTGTACATAATAACAGATTGCCTTTTTCACGTACAGGACGTATAGCTTTAGCATAACCTTTTTCCTTATGTGAACCAGCACTTTCAATAATTTTTAATTCAGTTTTATCAAGTGACATAAGGCCCAAATTAAGACCACTAAATAAACCAGATAGAAAAAATAATAAAATAATTAAAATAATTTGTACCCGTAATGGCATAAGAGCACTTGTTGTCCGAAAGGATAAACGATACTCCGGTGTAGTACCATTAGCATAGATCCATTTACCGTCAATATCAGAATAATTCCGTGGTTGCTGTTGTTGTTGTGGTTGTGATGGTGATGATGCGGTATTTTCTGATGAATCAATATGTGGAGTAATTTGTACAGGAATAATACGAATGCATAGATAAAAAGCAGCTTCATTACTGGATAATTCACGTAAACTTATAACGCTGGTAGTAACAAATGAACTCTCGGGAAGTGTATTAAATGAACTAGTAACACGTTCATGTTCATATGGTGAATTTGGAGGCTTTCTAATTGATGCAAATGATATATGACTAATATAATCCATTTGTAAACCAAATATAGTTAAATGTATAGCTTTATTAGATTGTAAGACAATGATATGATCTGTTATTGATTCATATGTATCTGGAAGTGCCCCATAATTAATAGGCTCAGTAGAGATTGTATGAATGAGTAATAGTTTTAGAAATACTGTAATTAAGATTATATACAATTTCATTTCCAACTCCTATAGAAGAAAAAATAGAAAAGAAAAGAAATGGAAAAATGGAATAAAATAGTTAATATACATGCAATAATGTTATCCAATCCATCCCAAAGAAGATACTTCTGCTTAATCTAGAATTCAAAAGGTGACACTGAAGCAGAAATCCTTTGTAACCTACCTATATTATCTTTTAGAATTTTAACCCTCTCCCACACACTCTATTGTGTGGTTGTGTGTTAATGCATGGAGTGCAATTGTTGAGTTTTCTTTTTCTAAATTACTTATCTCCGTGGGATCAATCATACTAACCTTAGCTAAATTCTTATGTTCTGATAATCTCACTACTCCTGATCTACTAGTTTAATCTATGTAGTTGACTCAACTCACTCACAGACATTGCAAAGTATTTTGTAAATTATATTATATTATTTTATTCGGTCCACCGGGTCCTTTAGCCTACAGAGCTTGTCCATGGGTGAGTTTGTAGATTTGAATGCCACTTTAATTCCTGCTTTATTCAGAATCCTACGGAGGGTTTCAGCTATCGTCTCCTTATATGGTAAAACTGCAGATGACCTATAATCTTTCTTATTTATGTTCTCATTACTAGTTTCACCATTACTTTTGTTTTGCCTCCGACATCTTTTGGTTAGGATATTTAGTTATTTTACACCAACGCTTCTTCTCCCATCTGTTTCATTCTATCATTTATGTATTTTGTTGTACTACTTAGTGCTACCGTTCGGTTTGTTAGACACTAAACTAGGTCTGCCTTAACAGTTAACGGATGAGACGAATTAAAGTCTAAATATCTATTAGAGTGCGTCGGTGGCAAAGTGGTTAGGACTCTCGCCGATCATGCACATGGTCCGGGGTTCGATCCCCTGCCGGCGCACACCCGATACCTATGGTCGGCCTGAATTTGGCTACCGATATCCATGCTGAAAATTCCATACTTGTACTAAATCGTGTGAATCAAGCTGTAAAAAAAAAAATTTAATAAACGCTAGGGTACATGCAGTTTACATTCTTCTTCTGTTCGTTTTATTTAACAATCTGTCATCACAGCTAATTCCCCTTGTTTATTTTGCGATTCAAATGTGCATTTTATTTCTTTTACTAGTGAGTTTGAAGTATGCGCTGAAGATGTCACCTAGTGGGGTGATGAAAGCTTCACAAATTAACTATCCAGCTCAGAGAACACAGCCACATCAAAAACTGTGTGATTTTATTCAAATAAAATTTTATTCATCATGGAGACAGTGTTTTATTATTATTCCCTCAGGTTTCGAAGGGAGCATAGGATTTCAACAACACCTCTGGATTTCATCCTCTCTTTCTCTGCAGTCAACTTTAGCCAGCAACACGATCGCCCATAATCACTCATCTCCTCCTCTTCACACGATCTCCTCAATATCAACCTCAGATGCCCAACTCGCAGTTTCACAATCGGATTCAGCTCGAAAGCCTAGCATGCAATGCTATTCAACGGTGTCCTCAGCGAACATCTGCTCAGAAGATAACAGGAAACGTAAAAGAAATGGGAAGAATCTAGAATAAACAGCCTACTTAAAACTTGCAATATCAAAAACTTTCCATCTCTCTCTCTCTGTTGAATATATTTTCTCTCCTTCGGTTTGTTTTAATCGATCAACATATAATCTCTAATGGTATAACGTACACTCGTAGGTATTTAAAATGTTTACAAGCTTCTGTTTCGTAATTTCATATTAAACTTGAGGAAAGGCACGATTGTGCGTGGTAGCGTGTTCCAATACAACATGAGATAATTGTTCCTCAGTTATGTGTGTTCTTGGGTCTCAAAATCTACTTCTGAACATTCTACAAGGTTGGCTTTCACAGCTACATATCATGGATTTCTTAAAGGAAGGAGACGAAGCAGATGTATCACATAATGGAATGGTTTGTGCTTCAGCTCCGAGAGAGCATTGTGTCACAGGAAGGATATACTGTCAATTAATCAATATTTTACTTGAAGATATTGTACAAAGAGCGAAAATATCATGCAATAAACTCCTCTGAAAATTCTGAACATTTTATGAATACTGTCCAGAATAAGAATTTCATGGATATATGGAAGATAAAAAAGAGTGAATACGTCATCAATGTCACTGTGAGTGATTTTCAGCCTTACCATCAACAGTTTTGAGGATCCTAGAGCTATTTTCATCTGACCAGACCTTGTTCTTTCCGCATCGAATCCTCATGTTAAGTAGTAACACCGCACGATGAGGAAGGCTTCGACTTGGCATGCATAGCGCATACTTGAACTATCTCAATTGCCTTACATCGATTGAATTTCTCTCCTTACCTGACACTTTTTGTTGAACTTAATCATTACTTATATACCATACTATACCATCTGGTACGATAGAGAGAATAAGCATAAGTAATTTCAGAGTGAACATCGGCTAGTTTCTGCTCTTCAAGATCAAATTAAGGATGAATTAGTCTGAATCTATAGAGGTAAGTCATTACCACAGTTTCGTATAAATACTGCATATCTGTCCAAATCAGTTTAAAAGGAATGACTGCATGCATCTTGTGATACAGTATATGTTCCTTTAACAGAAGTGTCCACATTGGTTTAACATTAATTTGTTTCAGTATGGCGGAAATATTCACTCAGATATTTACAGCCGAAATACTCGCTCTCCACTAACATGTCGGTTCAAGTGCAGATACCATTGTAATATTAAGAACAAAATATTCAGCGAAGAGACTCTTTTCAACAACGAATTTATTATCAAGCTGTACAGTTGTGTGCGACGCTCTGTTCTAGAACACGTGATCGCCTCCTGTTACTCTACCAAGCCTGACTATGATTTTAAGATCATCTACCGAATCCATGCAAACATGCCGGAGGCGGTTTCATCATTTTAAACTTCTAAAGACAGTGCAGGCTTTGGCCATTCATGAATTCAAGCCAGACATACCTTTGTGTACAAAAGAAGTATGTACAATCCCTACTTCTGCCTTGGCCGTAGAGCCATAGACATTTATTTATTTATTTTGTTTATTTAGCTAATCTATGTACATTTCCCTCATTACTACGATTATTATTATTATTATTACTATTCTCATTCTGATATGCTTTCGCTTGTCCCAATTGTCATTCTAAATCCAAAATTACTTTTTTAAAATATTGAATTCTATTTCATCAAATTTCACACCATGTTATGTAAAAAACAAAAGTACATACTAATGAGCAATCATATTTAGATGGGTCATGTATGTACTTTTGTTTTTTATTTAACTGAGTAATTGTCATGACCTTTATTTTATTTTATTTTATTATTGTTAACCATGTTAGTTGTAAAGCGGTTGTAAGGAAACTACGAAATGAAGATATCATCTCACGAAATTTGTCGTCTTAATGCCTGATTATAATAAAAAATTGTTTTTGAATACACAGGTTTGGGGCTTGAGTTTATGAATAGGTATAGCCCCGGCGTATTTCAATGAGCGCCCTTGACCGTTTATACATGTATATTAACATAAATCGAGTTCACAAATGAATGTGTGATCAGATTGTTCGAAATGTATAGCGGAGATCACTAAACCAAATAACAAAGGTAATAGTACATCTATTATCATATCAAAATAAAGTTTACTAACTTGAGCATCGTTCGTCAGTCCGGTGTCATTTTTCGTTGTCAAGTTGGTCAATTGGTAAAGATAACAAAATCAAGTGTAGATTGTTAGATTTGATCAGTGTGTAAAATCATAAAAGTAGTGTGTGTTTACATAGTGAACTTGCATATCACATTCGTGTTGATTTTGTTACTTCATGGGGGAAGGGTGGGAGGTGTTGTAACCAGGTCAGATTCTGTTTTAGTCCGTCATTCCTATTCAGGCAGTTTGGATTCCACTTGATATGAAGTGATTCTGATATTAGACGTTCTTTGTGATTTCTGAAGTTTTTCTGGATTATTTCAATATTGTCAAAGTCAATTTTGTGTCCTGATTCTATGGCGTTCAAGCAATAAGGATGTCTCAAGTAACACATCTGTTTCCAACCTTACTTTTATTTTTATACTTAGTTTCCTGTATTTTACCTTTGCCCACCTTGACTTCTTAACCTTCGACAGCCTTTCGCCTTTGTCTGGATTCCTAGCCTATCTGTGTGGTATTGCAATTTCCTTCTTTCTTCCCTTCCTGATGCTAGTTAACGAATACTGTTTGAACTTGTTAAACATGACTGTTTTCCTTCCTGATGAAGTTCTTTATCCGTTTTCTACTTATATTTTACTTTTAATCTATGTTGTTTTATTATTATTGTGTGGCGAATCTTTCTTGGTGCCATATTGTACCAAGATTTTTCGCGTTTAAATAAAAATTATAAATAATACTAATGTCGAGCTGATTGAGTACTCTCCTGATATCGTCTGACGTCTCTGTTCTATATGGAATGACGACTGTCGAGGTCCATGTTTTCGGATTGCGTTTTCGGCCACAATTAATGTCTGCGTTGATTTTGTTGATGAAGTTCCTTGGGTAGTTGTTTTGCTTGAGAGTTTCAGTAATGTTTGATATTTCTTCTTTTTCTTTCTCGTCGGTTATCAGAGTGTGCTCGTCTAAGAAGACTTGAAACAACTGAAATCTTGGCGCTGATGGGGCATGATGATCTGAAGTCTAAATATTTATTGGAGTGGGTTTTCTTCATGAATATGGATATACTGAAATATCTGCTTTCCCTCCTCTTAACTAGCCAGGCAGTCTAGAAATGGTAGTTCACCGACGTCTGATTCTGCTTCCGAAGTGAATTGGATTCTGGGAGATACACAGTTTATTTTCTCCAGGAATGAACTGTGTAGATCTCGTTTCAGCACTACAAAAGTATCATCTACATATCTTAACCATATTTTAGGAGTGAGTATGCTTGAAAAGATGTCATCTTCGAATGTATTCATGAAAAGGTCGACAACTATTGGGGAAACTGGTGAACCTATAGCAACACCATTTGTCTGTCTATATAAAGTCCATTTAACTGTAAAATAATTACTTTCTAGACAGAATTTTAAGCTCTTAATTATTTCACCGGTGTCCAGTGGACATCTTTGTGATAGCGTTGTATCTGATTCTAGAAGACTGGAAATGATATCAAGACTTTCGGTCATAGGGATACTAGTATATAATGAGCTAATATCATAGCTTACCATAATGTCTTCTTTATCAATTTCTCGGTGTTCTATTTGGGATTTGAAATCATATGAATTTCTTACAATATTTTGAGTGTCCATTTGTAGTGGTTGTAGTACCGAGAGTAAGTATTTAGAGAGGTTGTATGTCCGTGAGTTGGTGAAATCTATTATTGGTCTTAATGGAACTGTGGATTTATGTATCTTTGGTTGACCGTAGAATCTTGAAGGTACATAAGACTTTGGTTTTAATTTTAAACCAGAGAGAATTTCCAATTTTGGGATTCATTTCTTGAATGAGTCTGTTTGTATTTGGTTTGATTTTGTTGAATTCGGCGGATTTCTGCTTCTCTTCAATGAGTGAGTATGGTCATTCAGATAGGTGTTCAATCGCCTTCCTTTCATAATCCGTTCTGTTCATTATCAAAATGACGTTTCCCTTGTTGGCTTTTGTCATAACGATGCTTCTGTTTTCCTTCAAATTTTTTAGGGTTTCATATTCTCGTTTGGTGAGATTAGATAGTATGTTTCGTTGTGTCATTAATATGTGTGATATCTTTTGACGCATAGGTTGTGATTCTTGATTGGTGAATCGTTGTAGAGCAGGTTCGATCATAGGTGCTATTTCCTGGACCGATAATGCCCTTCTACTGATATTGAAATTCAGACATTTCTGCAGTGATGAGATTCCATTTTCGGTTAGTATCTTGTCTGACATGTTATGTATGGCTCTAATATTCTTCATATCATTTGCAGAGGTTTTCTTTGGTTGTTTCTTTTCTTCGAATTTCAAGAATTTTTGTATTTGTCTTCTCTTAGTGACATTATGAAAATGAGATTCTCGTTCATTAAGCAATTTTTGAAAGGATTCATAGATATGGCTTGTAACAAGTAATGTTAAACAGTCGTCTACATTTTTGATTCTCGTTCGATAAGATTCAATTTTGACGTTGCAGTTATGTATTCTTTCTCGTAAAAATTCTCTGGAGGTATGATTTGCAGCAAGTATGGATTTGTGCGAATATTCAAGAGGTTTAACTCGTAGTGACTTCGGAATAATTCCACTGTGTATACAGCGTACTTAAGTCCCTTCTGAGATTCGAACCGGCATCACCCAGTGCTGCAGTCAGAGACGTTACCAACACTGAGTTATTTGGGCTCGCGATTTACCTCCTGACAGATAGAATTCTGTCTGCACCGAAGGAACGACTAGACACATCACACTGGTTACTAGTGTCCAATCAAAATATCCGCTACAGTCCTGCATGAGGTCAATGGCGAGCCGGAATAGCTCAGTGGTAACGCCCCTGAATGCAGCACTGGATGACGCCGGTTCGAATCTCAGAAAGGAAATGAGTTACTTCGAGGTTGCAGATACGCCCTGCTGACTGTTGAATGCCAACTAGCACGAAACCAAAGTCAGGCAAGGCTTCCTGTAGATTACCTCCGACCATCTAATACCAACAGTTCAAAGCGCACCGTGACGGCGACCTACCTAGAATGGTGGCCACATTACAAACCTGACTTATAGAATTCAGTCTGCACCAAACAGAAGGGACTAGTTACTGACTAGTGTTCAATCAAAAAACAAACTTGATGCATTATGGACAACTAACGATTGCGCCACACAAATCCTCGTAATTTGTGCGATGGCTGGAATACTGTTAGGATGTCCACATCGAAACGGGTGGTTGTCTTAAGGGGTCTACCTGCCCCCCACCGGAGCCTTTAACTTGAAATCTGACTCACAAGGCAGTGGGAACAGCGCGTCAGGAGCTACACTCCCATGGTTCCAGGTGACCGAACCATGTTTATGCATCATTTGACTCGTTGGCATTCTAGAGCCTATGTGCCTATGCACCAAATGTTTGGAATTAGGGTTTTCCAGCTGCCCTCCATAGGTAGGTAGGTAGACATCTGCATGTCCATCAGTCCTGTTTCTCCTTCCACTTTTGCAAGAGACACCTCAGCCGCATGTATGCAGTAAACAGGAGTTATATGGCAACTTGAGATCATCTCAAGAAGAAGACTAAAGTATACCCTCAAACACACACACACAGCCGTACAAGGTCAATTATGAGGCCAATAAAAAGGTATGGTGATAAACGGAAGAATAATGATTAATTAAAAATACAAAAAAATAAAATAAAAGTAACCCTCAACAACTTGACTTACTTGTTCACGTATAAGTACTCCAAGCTTTTCTCTACTATACACTTGACCAATTTCTTCACCAAGTATTTTATCCAATATATAACTAACAGGAAATGCAATTGGAAAGGTGAGCAGCATAAATGTTTTTGTCAACCATAAAGTTTTTGCACCGATAGCTAATCCATGCCTTGAGCATACAGCTTGTGGCATAATTTCACCAAATAGTGTAATACCAATAGTAGAGGCGATAACAGCGAATAAACCACTCCCAGTTAAATCATCCATAAGTATAGTTAATGATGTATTGACAAGTACATTACCCAGCAGAAGTGTACATAATAACAGATTGCCTTTTTCACGTACAGGACGTATAGCTTTAGCATAACCTTTTTCCTTATGTGAACCAGCACTTTCAATAATTTTTAATTCAGTTTTATCAAGTGACATAAGGCCCAAATTAAGACCACTAAATAAACCAGATAGAAAAAATAATAAAATAATTAAAATAATTTGTACCCATAATGGCATAAGAGCACTTGTTGTCCGAAAGGATAAACGATACTCCGGTGTAGTACCATTAGCATAGATCCATTTACCGTCAATATCAGAATAATTCCGTGGTTGCTGTTGTTGTTGTGGTTGTGATGGTGATGATGCGGTATTTTCTGATGAATCAATATGTGGAGTAATTTGTACAGGAATAATACGAATGCATAGATAAAAAGCAGCTTCATTACTGGATAATTCACGTAAACTTATAACGCTGGTAGTAACAAATGAACTCTCTGGAAGTGTATTAAATGAACTAGTAACACGTTCATGTTCACATGGTGAATTTGGAGGCTTTCTAATTGATGCAAATGATATATGACTAATATAATCCATTTGTAAACCAAATATAGTTAAATGTATAGGTTTATTAGATTGTAAGACAATGATATGATCTGTTATTGATTCATATGTATCTGGAAGTGCCCCATAAATAATAGGCTCAGTAGAGATTGTATGAATGAGTAATAGTTTTAGAAATACTGTAATTAAGATTATATACAATTTCATTTCCAACTCCTATAGAAGAAAAGAAAAGAAAAGAGATGGAAAAAGGGAATAACAAAGTTCTTATACATGCAATAATGTTATCCAGTCCATCCCAAAGAAGATACTTCTGCTTAATCTGGAATTCAAAGGTGACATTGAAGCAGAAATCCTTTGTAACCTACCTATATTACCTTTTAGAATTTTAACCCTCTCCCACACACTCTATTGTGTGGTTGTGTGTTAATGCATGGAGTGCAATTGTTGAGTTTTCTTTTTCTAAATTACTTATCTCCGTGGGATCAATCATACTAACCTTAGCTAAATTCTTATGTTCTGATAATCTCACTACTCCTGATCTACTAGTTTAATCTATGTAGTTGACTCAACTCACTCACAGACGTTGCAAAGTATTTTGTAAATTATATTATTTTATTTAATTCGGTCCACCGGGTCCTTTAGCCTACAGAGCTTGTCCTATATGAGTGAGTTTGTAGGTTTGAATGCCACTTTAATTCCTGCTTTATTCAGAATCCTACGGAGGGTTTCAGCTATCGTCTCCTTATATGGTAAAACTGCACATGCCTTACATTCTTTCTTATTTATGTTCTCATTATTAGTTTCACCATTATTTTTGTTTTGCCTCCGACATCTTTTGGTCTTCCTAATAAATTTTGTAGGATAGTTAGTTATTTATCACCAGCGCTTCTTCTCCCATCTGTTTCATTCTATCATTTACGTTTTTTGTTGTACTACTGAGTGCCACCGTTCGGTTTTTTAGAGACACCCTTAACTAAGCCTGCCTCAACAGTTAACGGATGAGACGAATTAAAGTCTAAATATCTATTAGTAGAATGCGTTGGCTTTTTATAAACGCTACGGTACATGCAGTTTACATTCTTCTTCTGTTCGTTTTATTTAACAATCTGTCATCACAGCTAATTCCCCTTGTTTATTTTGCGATTCAAATGTGCATTTTATTTCTTTTACTAGTGAGTTTGAAGTATGCGCTGAAGATGTCACCTAGTGGGGTGATGAAAGCTTCACAAATTAACTATCCAGCTCAGAGAACACAGCCACATCAAAAACTGTGTGATTTTATTCAAATAAAATTTTATTCATAATGGAGACAGTGTTTTATTATTATTCCCTCAGGTTTCGAAGGGAGCATAGGATTTCAACAACACCTCTGGATTTCATCCTCTATTTCTCTGCAGTCAACTTTAGCCAGCAACACGATCGCCCATAATCACTCATCTCCTCCTCTTCACACGATCTCCTCTTTATCAACCTCAGATGCCCAACTCGCAGTTTCACAATCGGGTTCTGCTCGAAAGCCTAGCATGGAATGACATTCAACGGTTTCCCCATCGAAAGTCTGCTCAGAAGATAACAGGAAACGTAAAAGAAATGGGAAGAATCTAGAATAAACAGCCTACTTAAAATTTGCAATATCAAAAAATTTCCATCTCTCTCTCTCTGTTGAATATATTTTCTCTCCTTCGGTTTGTTTTAATCGATCAACATATAATCTCTAATGGTATAACGTACACTCGTGGGCATTTAAAATGTTTACAAGCTTCTGTTTCGTAATTTCATATTAAACTTGAGGAAAGGCACGATTGTGCGTGGTAGCATGTTCCAATACAACATGAGATAACTGTTCTTCAGTTATGTATGTCCTTGGGTCTCAAAATCTACTTCTGAACATTCTACAAGGTTGGCTTTCACAGCTAGATATTGTGGATATCTTAAAGGAAGGAGACAAAGCAGCTATATCATCCTAATGGAATGGTTTGTGCTTCAGCTCCGAGAGAGCATTGTGTCACAGGAAGGATATACTGTCAATTAATCAATATTTTACTTGAAGATATTGTACAAAGAGCGAAAATATCATGCAATAAACTTCTCCGAAAATTCTGAACATTTTATGAATACTGTCCAGAATAAGAATTTCATGGATATATGGAAGATAAGAAAGAGTGAATACGTCATCAGTGTCACTGTGAGTGATTTTCAGCCTTACCATCAACAGTATTGAGGATCCTAGAGCTATTTTCATCTGACCAGACCTTGTTCTTTCCGCATCGAATCCTCATGTTAAGTAGTAACACCGCACGACGAGGAGGGCTTCGACTGGGCATGCATAGCGCATACTTGAACTATCTCAATTGCCTTACATCGATTGAATTTCTCTCCTTACCTGACACTTTTTGTTGAACTTAATCATTACTTATATACCATACTATACCATCTGGTACGATAGAGAGAATAAGCATAAGTAATTTCAGAGTGAACATCGGCTAGTTTCTGCTCTTCAAGATCAAATTAAGGATGAATTAGTCTGAATCTATAGAGGTAAGTCATTACCACAGTTTCGTATAAATACTGCATATCTGTCCAAATCAGTTTAAAAGGAATGACTGCATGCATCTTGTGATACAGTATATGTTCCTTTAACAGAAGTGTCCACATTGGTTTAACATTAATTTGTTTCAGTATGGCGAAAATATTCACTCAGATATTTACAGCCGAAATACTCGCTCTCCACTAACATGTCGGTTCAAGTGCAGATACCATTGTAATATTAAGAACAAAATATTCAGCGAAGAGACTCTTTTCAACAACGAATTTATTATCAAGCTGTACAGTTGTGTGCAACGCTCTGTTCTAGAACACGTGATCGCCTCCTGTTACTCTACCAAGCCTGACTATGATTTTAAGATCATCTACCGAATCCATGCGAACATGCCGGAGGCGGTTTCATCATTTTAAACTTCTAAAGACAGTGGAGGCTTTGGCCATTCATGAATTCAAGCCAGACATACCTTTGTGTACAAAAGAAGTATGTACAATCCCTACTTCTGCCTTGGCCGTAGAGCCATAGACATTTATTTATTTATTTTGTTTATTTAGCTAATCTATGTACATTTCCCTCATTACTACGATTATTATTATTATTATTACTATTCTCATTCTGATATGCTTTCGCTTGTCCCAATTGTCATTCTAAATCCAAAATTATTTTTTAAAATATTGAATTCTATTCCATCAAATTTCACACCATGTTATGTAAAAAACAAAAGTACATACTAATGAGCAATCATATTTAGATGGGTCATGTATGTACTTTTGTTTTTTATTTAACTGAGTAATTGTCATGACCTTTATTTTATTTTATTATTGTTAACCATGTTAGTTGTAAAGCGGTTGTAAGGAAACTACGAAATGAAGATATCATCTCACGAAATTTGTCGTCTTAATGCCTGATTATAATAAAAAATTGTTTTTGAATACACAGGTTTGGGGCTTGAGTTTATGAATAGGTATAGCCCCGGCGTATTTCAATGAGCGCCCTTGACCGTTTATACATGTATATTAACATAAATCGAGTTCACAAATGAATGTGTGATCAGATTGTTCGAAATGTATAACGGAGATCACTAAACCAAATAACATAGGTAATAGTACATCTATTATCATATCAAAATAAAGTTTACTAACTTGAGCATCGTTCGTCAGTCCGGTGTCATTTTTCGTTGTCAAGTTGGTCAATTGGTAAAGATAACAAAATCAAGTGTAGATTGTTAGATTTGATCAGTGTGTAAAATCATAAAAGTAGTGTGTGTTTACATAGTGAACTTGCATATCACATTCGTGTTTTTGTTACTTCATGGAGGAAGGGTGGGAGGTGTTGTAACCAGGTCAGATTCTGTTTTAGTCCGTCATTCCTATTCAGGCAGTTTGGATTCCACTTGATATGAAGTGCTTCTGATATTAGACGTTCTTTGTGATTTCTGAAGTTTTTCTGGATTATTTCAATATTGTCAAAGTCAATTTTGTGTCCTGATTCTATGGCGTTCAAGCAATAAGGATGTCTCAAGTAACACATCTGTTTCCAACCTTACTTTTATTTTTATACTTAGTTTCCTGTATTTTACCTTCGCCCACCTTGACTTCTTAACCTTCGACAGCCTTTCGCCTTTGTCTGGATTCCTAGCCTATCTGTGTGGTATTGCAATTTCCTTCTTTCTTCCCTTCCTGATGCTAGTTAACGAATACTGTTTGAACTTGTTAAACATGACTGTTTTCCTTCCTGATGAAGTTCTTTATCCGTTTTCTACTTATATTTTACTTTTAATCTATGTTGTTTTATTATTATTGTGTGGCGAATCTTTCTTGGTGCCATATTGTACCAAGATTTTTCGCGTTTAAATAAAAATTATAAATAATACTAATGTCGAGCTGATTGAGTACTCTCCTGATATCGTCTGACGTCTCTGTTCTATATGGAATGACGACTGTCGAGGTCCATGTTTTCGGATTGCGTTTTCGGCCACAATTAATGTCTGCGTTGATTTTGTTGATGAAGTTCCTTGGGTAGTTGTTTTGCTTGAGAGTTTCAGTAATGTTTGATATTTCTTCTTTTTCTTTCTCGTCGGTTATCAGAGTGTGCTCGTCTAAGAAGACTTGAAACAACTGAAATCTTGGCGCTGATGGGGCATGATGATCTGAAGTCTAAATATTTATTGGAGTGGGTTTTCTTCATGAATATGGATATACTGAAATATCTGCTTTCCCTCCTCTTAACTAGCCAGGCAGTCTAGAAATGGTAGTTCACCGACGTCTGATTCTGCTTCCGAAGTGAATTGGATTCTGGGAGATACACAGTTTATTTTCTCCAGGAATGAACTGTGTAGATCTCGTTTCAGCACTACAAAAGTATCATCTACATATCTTAACCATATTTTAGGAGTGAGTATGCTTGAAAATATGTCATCTTCGAATGTATTCATGAAAAGGTCGACAACTATTGGGGAAACTGGTGAACCTATAGCAACACCATTTGTCTGTCTATATAAAGTCCATTTAACTGTAAAATAATTACTTTCTAGACAGAATTTTAAGCTCTTAATTATTTCACCGGTGTCCAGTGGACATCTTTGTGATAGCGTTGTATCTGATTCTAGAAGACTGGAAATGATATCAAGACTTTCGGTCATAGGGATACTAGTATATAATGAGCTAATATCATAGCTTACCATAATGTCTTCTTTATCAATTTCTCGGTGTTCTATTTGGGATTTGAAATCATATGAATTTCTTACAATATTTTGAGTGTCCATTTGTAGTGGTTGTAGTACCGAGAGTAAGTATTTAGAGAGGTTGTATGTCCGTGAGTTGGTGAAATCTATTATTGGTCTTAATGGAACGGTGGATTTATGTATCTTTGGTTGACCGTAGAATCTTGAAGGTACATAAGACTTTGGTTTTAATTTTAAACCAGAGAGAATTTCCAATTTTGGGATTCATTTCTTGAATGAGTCTGTTTGTATTTGGTTTGATTTTGTTGAATTCGGCGGATTTCTGCTTCTCTTCAATGAGTGAGTATGGTCATTCAGATAGGTGTTCAATCGCCTTCTTTTCATAATCCGTTCTGTTCATTATCAAAATGACGTTTCCCTTGTCGGCTTTTGTCATAACGATGCTTCTGTTTTCCTTCAAATTTTTTAGGGTTTCATATTCTCGTTTGGTGAGATTAGATAGTATGTTTCGTTGTGTCATTAATATGTGTGATATCTTTTGACGCATAGGTTGTGATTCTTGATTGGTGAATCGTTGTAGAGCAGGTTCGATCATAGGTGCTATTTCCTGGACCGATAATGCCCTTCTACTGATATTGAAATTCAGACATTTCTGCAGTGATGAGATTCCATTTTCGGTTAGTATCTTGTCTGACATGTTATGTATGGCTCTAATATTCTTCATATCATTTGCAGAGGTTTTCTTTGGTTGTTTCTTTTCTTCGAATTTCAAGAATTTTTGTATTTGTCTTCTCTTAGTGACATTATGAAAATGAGATTCTCGTTCATTAAGCAATTTTTAAAGGGATTCATAGATATGGCTTGTAGCAAGTAATGTTAAACAGTCGTCTACATTTTTGATTCTCGTTCGATAAGATTCAATTTTGATGTTTCAGTTATGTATTCTTTCTCGTAAAAATACTTTGGAGGTATGATTTGCATGGATTTGTGCGAATATTCAAGAGGTTCAATTCGTAGTGACTTCGGAATAGACAGCGTACCCATGTCCCTTGTGAGATTCTAACCGGCATCACCCATTGCTGCAGTCAGAGACGTTACCAACATTGAGTTATTTGGGCTCGCGATTTACCTCCTGACTGATATAATTCTGTCTGCACCAAATAAACGACTAGACAAATCACACTGGTTACTAGTGTCCAATCAAAATATCCGCTACAGTCCTGCATGAGGTCAATGGCGAGCCGGAATAGCTCAGTGGTAACGCCCCTGAATGCAGCACTGGATGACGCCGGTTCGAATCTCAGAAAGGAAATGAGTTACTTCGAGGTTGCAGATACGCCCTGCTGACTGTTGAATGCCAACTAGCACGAAACCAAAGTCAGGCAAGGCTTCCTGTAGATTACCTCCGACCATCTAATACCAACAGTTCAAAGCGCACCGTGACGGCGACCTACCTAGAATGGTGGCCACATTACAAACCTGACTTATAGAATTCAGTCTGCACCAAACAGAAGGGACTAGTTACTGACTAGTGTTCAATCAAAAAACAAACTTGATGCATTATGGACAACTAACGATTGCGCCACACAAATCCTCGTAATTTGTGCGATGGCTGGAATACTGTTAGGATGTCCACATCTAAACGGTTGGTTATGTTAAGGGGTTTACCTGCCCCCCACCGAAGCCTTTAACTTGAAATCTGATTCACAAGGCAGTGGGAACAGCGCGTCAGGAGCTACACTCCCATGGTTCCAGGTGACCGAACCATGTTTATGCATCATTTGACTCGTTGGCATTCTAGAGCCTATGTGCCTATGCACCAAATGTTTGGAATTAGGGTTTTCCAGCTGCCCTCCATAGGTAGGTAGGTAGACATCTGCATGTCTAACCAGTTCTGTTGCTCCTTCCACTTTTGCAAGAGACACCTCAGCCGCATGTAGGCAGTAAACAGGAGTTATATGGCAACTTGAGATCATCTCAAGAAGAAGACTAAAGTATACCCTCAAACACACACACACAGCCGTACAAGGTCAATTATGAGGCCAATAAAAAGGCATGGTGATAAACGGAAGAATAATGATTAATTAAAAATACAAAAAAATAAAATAAAAAGTAACCCTCAACAACTTGACTTACTTGTTCACGTATAAGTACTCCAAGCTTTTCTCTACTATACACTTGACCAATTTCTTCACCAAGTATTTTATCCAATATATAACTAACAGGAAATGCAATTGGAAAGGTGAGCAGCATAAATGTTTTTGTCAACCATAAAGTTTTTGCACCGATAGCTAATCCATGCCTTGAGCATACAGCTTGTGGCATAATTTCACCAAATAGTGTAATACCAATAGTAGAGGCGATAACAGCGAATAAACCACTCCCAGTTAAATCATCCATAAGTATAGTTAATGATGTATTGACAAGTACATTACCCAGCAGAAGTGTACATAATAACAGATTGCCTTTTTCACGTACAGGACGTATAGCTTTAGCATAACCTTTTTCCTTATGTGAACCAGCACTTTCAATAATTTTTAATTCAGTTTTATCAAGTGACATAAGGCCCAAATTAAGACCACTAAATAAACCAGATAGAAAAAATAATAAAATAATTAAAATAATTTGTACCCATAATGGCATAAGAGCACTTGTTGTCCGAAAGGATAAACGATACTCCGGTGTAGTACCATTAGCATAGATCCATTTACCGTCAATATCAGAATAATTCCGTGGTTGCTGTTGTTGTTGTGGTTGTGATGGTGATGATGCGGTATTTTCTGATGAATCAATATGTGGAGTAATTTGTACAGGAATAATACGAATGCATAGATAAAAAGCAGCTTCATTACTGGATAATTCACGTAAACTTATAACGCTGGTAGTAACAAATGAACTCTCTGGAAGTCTATTAAATGAACTAGTAACACGTTCATGTTCACATGGTGAATTTGGAGGCTTTCTAATTGATGCAAATGATATATGACTAATATAATCCATTTGTAAACCAAATATAGTTAAATGTATAGGTTTATTAGATTGTAAGACAATGATATGATCTGTTATTGATTCATATGTATCTGGAAGTGCCCCATAATTAATAGGCTCAGTAGAGATTGTATGAATGAGTAATAGTTTTAGAAATACTGTAATTAAGATTATATACAATTTCATTTCCAACTCCTATAGAAGAAAACAAAAGAAAAGAGATGGAAAAAGGGAATAACAAAGTTCTTATACATGCGATAATGTTATCCAGTCCATCCCAAAGAAGATACTTCTGCTTAATCTAGAATTCAAAGGTGACACTGAAGCAGAAATTCTTCGTAAACGCGTCTCCGCCAGCCTACGACTGATGTTTTCCTGAAAGAAACTGTTCAGGCAGAAAGCGAAAGACAAGCTTTCGCATTGGGCCAATTCAACGTGCATATGTACCGGTTTACTTGGTCGTGCGGAGATGAGTATATCGACCGTACCATTCGCCAACTTGAAAAACGCTCTCCTGAACAATATCCAGGCTGTCTAGTAACAGGAGAACAGAAACGTGTATACAGTTCAGTGAGAGAACATCTGTTCAGTTCAGGACATTCAGCACTATTCGAGAAATCCTTCAAAATAATTTACAAGATTCGATCAAAACCCATCAAATGGACTAAAATTAAGAAATCTGGGCATAACCGAGGCACTAGCTATCAAAAAGCTCAAACCCACGCTACGTATCCAAAAGAAATGCCTCCAACCCTTTTCCCTGCCATCGCCATCATAAAAAGGTAATTCTTTTAGTAGTGACTATTCTATTGCCTGTCTTATCCAAAACTCCCTGTTTACTAATGTTATTTTTAAATTTTTCCTAATCCCTCCACTATTTACACTACCATATTTTCATATCCAAACTTCCTGTCTATTTTGTCATTTTACTATTTCTACATATTTAATCCCCGACTGCATAAACAAGTATTCGCCACATTAGTTATGATCCAACTAGATTTCTATATCCGGGCATCCTGTCTATTTTGTCATTTCTACATTTCTAACCCCTGATTACACAATACGTCAATCTTCTCAGTAATTGTGATGCTACTTTGTTTGAGTTTTATCCGTCCCCCTCCCCGTGTTTATTACGACATTTTAATTCCCAATTGTAATTTTAGTGATTTCACCCTTGACCGGAAATTATTCTGGAACTTTCCCACCTATTCATTATAAATACACGAATGAACAGTCTAGTTGACGGTGACTTCAATGCAACTGTCTTTTTATTATCCAATTGGATAATTAAGAAGATATACGTGTATTGATTTTATCCAGTGTTGGTTTGCACAGGGGATTTGATTGATTACGGGTTTGGTCACGAGTTGACTGACTGAGTGACTCGTTTCGACATAGAACTCTGCACAGAAGTGCACCAGTTCAAGTTGCCACTCTCCTTCCATGTATCACACAAAGCAAGACAAAAGAGTAAGGTGAGGTTCAACAGATAGAGAGAGAGATAATAAACAGAAGTGTGAGAGAGGGAAAGAGAATAGTAACAAGGAAGAACAACAATAGAGTTTTATTGGATATGATAAATCACAGAGTGAATGCATCTCCGCCACCTATTGACAGCGAGGATATTTAGCCATCCATATCATCACCAATTGTCTCCAGTCGTCATTGGTTCTTACCATCTATCCCGAGGACCCCAACCAGTCAATCAGGAAGTCTACACCTCCCTACTTGGATGGCTGGCTGTCTGGCTTAAACTAACTGTTGTGACTTTCATTGACTGATGAAGCCATGTTTTGGTTTGACCACCACCACTAGCTTTCTCTTTTCCAACCTGATCCATCCTGTGTCAGCCAGCCAACAATGTCTGTTGTCGAGGAAGGCGATGACTAGGGATGCGGAGCAACCCATGTCCTAACCATCTCAAGCGATGTAGTCTCACATTCTCATCGGCTGATTTCCCCTCCCACTTACCTAGCAGTCGACCGACGCCCAACCTCATTATTTCTTACCTAATCATACCAATTAACACGAAAGATAAACAGCAGGTGCCTATGATGAAAGATAGCTAGCCGACCTTTTCATGTCTTTCACTCTCAATGGCCATATCAGACAGGCATAAAGGAGGACGGAGCGAAACTACTGAGCAGTACACACGTCCTTTGGTCGATAGCCAACCGAATATTCCGTCTACGACAGAGATGGTGTAAGTTTACATATGCTAAACGAGCCTTCTGTATCCCTGATGAGATCTCGTCGGCGATCAACTGGTTGACACTGGCTGATGCAAATTTCCAAATAAGTGAAGTGGTCAACACGCTCTGTCAATTCACTACCTGTCTTCAAGCTGGGAGTTAACGTAGTCCAGTCCTGTAGCTTCACCTTACATTTGAGGGAATCGAATCGCATGCCAAATATTCGAAGATTGCTGCTCATTTTGTCAGAGTATTTTTATGTGAAGATGCTAAGAAAGTGCAGAGTCTTCTGAACACCTTGAGCAGCAATCTTCGAATATTTGACACGCAATTCGATCCCGTCAAATGTAAGGTGATGCTACAGAACTGGATTAAACTGACTCCTAGCTAACAGATAAGCAGGAGTGAAGTGGTAGAGCGTGTTGACATCTATTGGGATAACTACGATTTGAGTTACAATGCATGTTGAGCGACTGCATTCCTTGATGAAGAAAAATATCTGATATTATGTTAAGTGCAGTCAAATAAAGACCTGACAACAATCCATCAAGTATTCAAGTATTGGTTTGTACGGATTTGATTGACTGGTTATAGGATTTCATCATGAGCTGACATTGGTTAGAGAACCATTCGAAAACCTAGTTGTTTTTCATTCCCGCTTCCTTTAAATTGTTTGAAAGACTTATTGCCATTATGTACTGACAACGTCCATTTCACGCTTGAAGGTGAACATTTTCGACAAGTGGATGGCATTGTTATGGGAAGTCGATTAGGACCTTTGTTAGCGGACGTTTGCATGTCTTATGCTGAAAACTTGTCCCTTGATTTAATTTCTAAAGTGCCCTCCTTCTATGGGACATATGTGGATGATATAATTTTGATATGCGACGATCATGAAGATGCGAGTCGTCTATTAGATAGACTTAACTTTGTACAGAATCATATTAGTTTTACATGCGAGGCAGAAAGTCGCAACCAGCTTGCATTTTTAGACATACTTCTGAGTCGAAGAGATGATGGTTCAATAAGACGATCAATCTACAGAAAGCCCACTTGGACAGGGCAATATCTTAATTTTCATAGTTTCTGTCCTTTATAGTATAAAGGAGGTTTTGTTAAATGTCTATTTGAGAGGACTCAACGTATTTGCACCGCTGATGTTATGGACAGAGAAAACGAAATATTAATGGATTCTCTTGTTGAAAACGGATATATCTGCTGATCTTTCCTGGTCGTCGCATATCTTGATGATTTCTAAGAAAATATTCCGTCTTACCTTCTACATCAAGAAGTTAAGTCATTCTGGATTAACCCAACCCGTACTCTCACAATTCGTTAACCAGCTTGTCAATATTCTGGTTGACAGGCACTTGGACTCATGTGAAAAATGGACTAAATCCATTTTATCTATCTCACACCACCGTCTTCATTCACAACTCTCCCCATGTGTCTCATCATGCAGAACCAGAAACCTATGCAGAAAACTATATGCTCGCACTAGCAAGTACAAAATCTCAACCATGCCCTACTTGGCTCGTGTTCTGTGCGATCAAGAAAGCATTAAGCGTGATACCTATAACTTATTAAATAGTCAGTAGAACAACTGGATCTCGTCTTTCCAACTCATATCGTTTATCGGCACAACGTTTCCTTTCTTTCTTTTCCTTTTTTATGTGCTGTTTTGTTTCTCTCTTCCTTACAAACTCTACTTGAAACATTCTTCTTCGTTCTTTCACACTCTGTATATCTCCACCTTTTTGTTACCGCTTACGCCAGTAAATATGCTAGCGTCTTCTTTATTAACACCTTCAAACACTGTTCAATTTTGCCTTTGCTACCGACATGCCCTCAAGTGGAACCCGAAAGGGAAGCGGTGAGTGGGACGTCCAAGGGTGACATGGAGGATATCGTGCGAAGAGGAATTGAAACAGTATGGATTAACATGGACGCAGGTGGAAAGTCCAGCAGATGACAGAAGCAAGTGGAGATGTGTAGTTGAAGATCAATGTTCCACTAGGAACCCAAGGGAACAATAATAATATAGTAATACCGACATGCCAATACGTTGTTTTCAAAACTAACTGAAATTAGTCTTAATCTATGTAGAATTTTATTTATTGTTAATGTACTAACTGGATGCAATACTGTAGCGAAATGCTGAGAATTCCATTCTGTATCACAAGTACTGTTTTGAGATAAAGCAAATTATTATTATTATTAAAATATGTAAACAGGTGTAGAAGTCAATTAGTCTCTGAACATACAATCTATACCGCCCCTAAGAAAAATGTCTTCACCAAATTACCGTATAACGGGGAAATAAACGGTAGGATTTTGAGACAAGGTTGAATTCGATCATCCGTAGAACCTACTATGCAGCCAGGCTTGTAATTGTCGAAAAAGCTAAAATATGCTCCACTGGAAACCTCAAAAGTGCACAAGTGATCCCACCTCCATCACGCGCTTTGTGCGTCGGTGGCACAGTGGTTAGGACACTGGGTACGGGTTCGATTCCCTGCCGATACACACCTGATATCTATGGTCTGCCTGCAAAATCTGGGCTGCCGATATCACATGCTGAAAATTCCATACCTGTACCGAAAAATACGGTGTGGAATCAAGCTGTAATCAAAACTCACACAAAAATAAAAAATGTTACATCTTACACTATTCGCCAATTTCGTGTGTGTGTGTGTGGTCACACATACATAGGGAGGAGTAATCGCGCGTTGCACGTGAGGGTGGGAGAGCATATCCCAAAGTGGTTAGGAAAACAGATGAATTGTGACAAGCCCATAGATGCAGGTGTCAGAATACCAA